CCCCCCCCCCCCCCAATCATATAGTGATACAATTATTGTGATATCAAAATGAAGAGAAAAAAAATTAAAGTTTAGCATAATTTTTTATTAAAATAATTAACAAATATACATTTTTAACTTCTCCATTTGCTACTAATATGTGAATACATTTTGTTCACCAAACCAAAGTCATGTGGTGAGACTAACATGCAGAAAAAAAATTATTATATCACAGAGACCCCTGCATGATTGTGTGTCAAGATTAATAATTCTGTCAAAATATCAGATAATCTGATTTTTTAAAGGCAAGGGTAGTTCAGGTTTAAAATCTGGAAAATGATTGATATTTTTAAATGAATAATTCATGATATACATAAAGATAATTTTTACTTTAAAACGTACATTTAAATTTTAAGTATTTATTTATATTTTTTTATGAGTAGACTCGCATGTATTCAAAGTGTTCGGAAAATCATCATATCAGTCCATCACTTCAGTTATTACATTGTTGCATGTTTTTGCAGAGGGAGATCCAGAAACTTTATGAAACCAAGTCTTTCGTGTTCCTGGGCTGCGGGAGGACAGTGGACGACACCACCTTCCAGGCACTGTTTCTCGAGGCGGTCAAACACAAGTCCGACCTTGAGCATTTCATGCTGGTGCGGCGAGAGGACGTGGGAGAATTCAAGAAGCTCCGAGACAACATGCTGGACAAGGGCATTAAGGTCATCTCGTACGGCAACGAATACGCCGACCTGCCAGAGTACTTTGAACGACTGGCCAATGAGATTTGCAACCGGGATGTGGTGACCAATGGCTGGGGTAAGTTGTCTTCACTATTTAGATATGTTACATACAACTGATGTTTTTTCACTGATTCATTTGCTGGATTGATTCAGGATCTCCCATCTCACAAGGTGAAGAAAGTCAAAATGGCTTTACGACCCAGAAAAACCTCCTGCAAGGTTAGGACGGCTTTTTTGTTGGCACCTCAACCAGCTTGCATGCTAAAGGCAATTTGGGCATTTGACTGGAGCATGACCACATGTTTTTTCCTTTTCCCTTCTTTCCTTCAGTGCATGCTTCTAGAACGATAGAAACATGAATGCAGCACAAGGGCTTCTGTTGTTGTTCTCACCTTCCCACTGTATGAAATCAGCTGATGCGCATTGTTGTAACGAGATCTTCATTGTAGCTCTTCCTCTCTCCCTGTCCAGACTTCCACTCGTGACACAAGTGGCAGTCTGGGAACGTTTCCACAGCTCCGCTGCTCCCTTCCACTCGGATCTGGTATGACTAGATCTTCACGCACAGCAGACTCATTTTCTCATACTAAAACCGAGCGCCGCCAGTACTCGTCCGCTTCACACGGGAAAGGCGTGAGTAAAAGCACCACCAAGCAAACTGTGAACTCCTGCAACTCGGAAAATGTTTATGAAACTTCATGTGAGTGAGGGAAAAATATATATATATTTTTTTTAATGTGGTTTTAAGTGAAGTTGTGGACCAAGAATGATGTTCAGGACCAGTCTGATCTTAAACATGAGCTGTTAAATACCAAAACAGCTGAACAGGAGTTGTTTTAGCAATGCAGTCTCACTTCCCGTTTTTCACAACAGTAAATACACCAGCAATATTTAAATGGTCATTGTGTGAACCTCACAAAATTATCATGAAATGTCCATGTCATATTTCACCCCTAAATAACTGTGTGTGTGTGTGTGTGTGTGTATATATATATATATATATATATATATATATGTATGTGTATTTATACATTTTGTGACATTGTTTTTCTTACATTTAAACACTGCCCAACTTCAAATTCTGATTACGGTAATGTGAAAAATAATTATTATTGTGATATCAAAATGAAGAGAAAAAAAATTAAAGTTTAGCATAATTTTTTATTAAAATAATTAACAAATATACATTTTTAACTTCTGCATTTGCTACTAATATGTGAATACATTTTGTTCACCAAACCAAAGTCATGTGGTGAGACTAACATGCAGAAAAAAAATTATTATATCACAGAGACCCCTGCATGATTGTGTGTCAAGATTAATAATTCTGTCAAAATATCAGATAATCTGATTTTTTAAAGGCAAGGGTAGTTCAGGTTTAAAATCTGGAAAATGATTGATATTTTTAAATGAATAATTCATGATATACATAAAGATAATTTTTACTTTAAAACGTACATTTAAATTTTAAGTATTTATTTATATTTTTTTATGAGTAGACTCGCATGTATTCAAAGTGTTCGGAAAATCATCATATCAGTCCATCACTTCAGTTATTACATTGTTGCATGTTTTTGCAGAGGGAGATCCAGAAACTTTATGAAACCAAGTCTTTCGTGTTCCTGGGCTGCGGGAGGACAGTGGACGACACCACCTTCCAGGCACTGTTTCTCGAGGCGGTCAAACACAAGTCCGACCTTGAGCATTTCATGCTGGTGCGGCGAGAGGACGTGGGAGAATTCAAGAAGCTCCGAGACAACATGCTGGACAAGGGCATTAAGGTCATCTCGTACGGCAACGAATACGCCGACCTGCCAGAGTACTTTGAACGACTGGCCAATGAGATTTGCAACCGGGATGTGGTGACCAATGGCTGGGGTAAGTTGTCTTCACTATTTAGATATGTTACATACAACTGATGTGTTTTTTCACTGATTCATTTGCTGGATTGATTCAGGATCTCCCATCTCACAAGGCGAAGAAAGTCAAAATGGCTTTACGACCCAGAAAAACCTCCTGCAAGGTTAGGACGGCTTTTGTGTTGGCACCTCAACCAGCTTGCATGCTAAAGGCAATTTGGGCATTTGACTGGAGCATGACCACATGTTCTTTCCTTCAGTGCATGCTTCTAGAACGATAGAAACATGAATGCAGCACAAGGGCTTCTGTTGTTGTTCTCACCTTCCCACTGTATGAAATCAGCTGATGCGCATTGTTGTAACGAGATCTTCATTGTAGCTCTTCCTCTCTCCCTGTCCAGACTTCCACTCGTGACACAAGTGGCAGTCTGGGAACGTTTCCACAGCTCCGCTGCTCCCTTCCGCTCGGATCTGGTATGACTAGATCTTCACGCACAGCAGACTCATTTTCTCATACTAAAACCGAGCGCCGCCAGTACTCGTCCGCTTCACACGGGAAAGGCGTGAGTAAAAGCACCACCAAGCAAACTGTGAACTCCTGCAACTCGGAAAATGTTTATGAAACTTCATGTGAGTGAGGGAGAAATATATATATTTTTTAATGTGGTTTTAAGTGAAGTTGTGGACCAAGAATGATGTTCAGGACCAGTCTGATCTTAAACATGAGCTGTTAAATACCAAAACAGCTGAACAGGAGTTGTTTTAGCAATGCAGTTTCACTTCCCGTTTTTCACAACAGTAAATACACCAGCAATATTTAAATGGTCATTGTGTGAACCTCACAAAATTATCATGAAATGTCCATGTCATATTTCACCCCTAAATAACTGTGTGTGTGTGTGTGTGTGTGTATATATATATATATATATATATATATATATGTATGTGTATTTATACATTTTGTGACATTGTTTTTCTTACATTTAAACACTGCCCAACTTCAAATTCTGATTACGGTAATGTGAAAAATAATTTCTGTAAAAAAAAAAAAAAAATGTTTTACTGTTTACATAGTACAGTACAATTCTGTTTAATGATATCATTTGCTGTACTGAATAATGAATTAAAATACTGATTTTAATAAAATGTAGTTTATTACTTTTGCAAATAATTTTTGCAAACAACAAAAAGCGATGCTGTATATACACTCACACAAAATCTAATTTTGACTTTTTGACTCACAGTATCTCACCTTTTTTCCTCACAATTTTAACAAAAAAGTCAGAATTGCAAGATAAAACCTCAAAATTGCGAGATATATGCTTGTTATTCTAAGAAATGTTAGATATAAACTCGCAAATGCAGGAAAATAAATCAGAATGGCAAGATAACCTTTTAAATTTTTTATTCTGTGGCAGAAACTAGATTCCATATACAGTATTGTGAGAATTACAGTATACAGAAATGTGATGTACACTTAGTATTCTAAGAAAAAAAGTCACATTTGTTAGAAAAAAGTTGCAGTTACTTTAAAAAAAATTTTTTTTTATTCTGTTGTGGAAGCTTCCATATACAGTATACACACACACAGTTCTATTGGTTGAAATATGACTCTGACCATTTCTTTTATTACTAAATCTGTCCTGTAAGGAGGAGGAAATGCAATAAACACTTCGTTAGGGTGACTGAGGTGTGAATGAAAATTCATGTGATTTCTCAGGCTTTACTTAGAGAAGCATCTCCGCTTCCATGAATCTACTTGAACTTGTCACGAGATTAATAATGAGGAGAATGATATAATGCCATCATTCCTCTCAAGTTACACAGCTTTCAATACATTTTATTGCACTTCGACACTGACAGTTAGTCCCCATTTCTAGTTGTAAATGCTTGGTCGGTAAAAAGAAATGTAAACAGTCGTTTATAAACCTTTTGTATTTTAACTCCAGTGGTCCACGGTTTTATCATCTCTGTCCACAAATGTCTTTTAGGTATTTATAATGCTATTTTAAAATAAAGCATCTGTTTGGTACCAAATTTGCAGTGAATATGTTTTCAGGAATGACATCTACCCACCTTATTTTTTTTTAAAGTACAAGCGATAGCTGCCATTTGTAACTTGAATGTGCGAGACCTCCGGTGTCATCTGCTTCTGGTTACTCTAGCTGTCCAAAAACAGAATATAAATATACAGAATTGCTAGAGGTAAAAGAGAATTAAGAGGGAAAAAACATTTGAGAATTGAGATGGAAACTTGGAATTGTGAGAAAAAAAGTCAGAATTTTTGAGTTTATATCTTGCCATTCTGACATTTTCAAATTCAGAATGGCAAGAAAAGTCTGAATTGAGATGAAAAAGTCGCAGTTCAATTTTTTTTTCCCTGTGGCAGAAAAACAGGCTTCCACAGAATTCAGCATTGGTGAGAATAGCAGCGTAGGAAACAATTACGAACTACTAGTACCAAACAAGACACGTCATTACAAGCTATTATAGCAGCTTTATTTCAGAAATATTACACATTCTCAAAGTACAACAAATCTTCTCTATGAAGCTCTCCAGTCTTGCCATTGTGCTAGCGCAAATTAACACGAGGTGATCGAGAATTAAGACCTGACTTTGTTCTAAAATAAAAGGGCGTAGGGATCTGAAAGAAAAGATGGCAGTACAGTCACTAATGAATTAAAACAAATATGTAACTTCGTAGGGCTTCAGACAGTTTGGTATACGCAGCATTTTAGAACTCTTTGCTGAGGTGCCTTCAAACCTCAAGCACCAAACCTTACAATATCTTATAATACTTTTCATCTCCAGAGACATGAAAAGCCTGAGTATAAAAGGAAGAATGAGAAAAGGCAGCGTTTGCTCAGAATTGTTTTGGGAACAACAGCTAATGTAATGAGCTGAGGCACTATGGTAGTGATTTCATGAGAGTTTGGGTTGCTGGGCCATCATCTGAATGTACCTACATTAATCAAATAAAAAGTAGACAAAATAGATTTAGAATATATTATATATCTTTTATAACATTTGCGTAACATCGCAGTCCATCTTTTTTTGGGTGGGCAGAAAGTACAAGATCACTTATTCGTAGAGAACAGATGTGGAAAAGTGCAAAAATACTTTCCATTATCTCATTATTTAAATGAAACCCAAACCATTGCTGTCTGATTGGCTGTGTTGCATGTCAATCAAAAATGGTTGCTGAGGTGAGATCAAGTCAAATGATATTCCTTCCACTCAAACTGAAACACTTTTTTTTTTTTCTTGCTGGAACAAAACACAAGGAGGATCCTAAATATGAACTGAATTTCAGTTAAACCTGTAGGAAAGCAAAATGTCTGCATTCACGGGAAGCTGAGAGGGTCACAGGGTCTCATATCTAGCAGTAGCGAAACCGTTGCTGGAGCAGCAGAGGCAGGTCTTGTGGGTGGTGCATCTCAGGCCTTCATGAGCGCGCTGACCACAGCCCTGGCGTTGAGGCTGCGCAGGTCGCTGTATGTCTGCCCGGTGCCCACAAACACGATGGGCTGACCTGTGATGTAGGTCATGGAGATGGCAGCGCCCACCTACAGGAAACAATGTAGAGTTTCTCCTAACCAAGATTCATTTCATAAAAACTTCCAACTTGAAACTGTTAGGGTGTGTTCACGCTTGTAGTTCGGTTCGTTTGGTCCGGACCAAAAAGGAAAACAATACATTTGGTCCTGGTCCGCTTAGCGTTCACATTGGCATTTTTGACAGCGAACCTAAAGGCATAGTGATACGTTCACAACCTGATTGGTCGGCTTAAAGTTTAAGTCGAACACACCTAATGCCGTCTGCTGGAGTAAAAGGAAAACAATACATTTGGTCCTGGTCCGCTTAGCGTTCACATTGGCATTTTTGACAGCGAACCTTAAAGGCATAGTGATACGTTCACAACCTGATTGGTCGGCTTAAAGTTTAAGTCGAACACACCTAATGCCGTCTGCTGGAGTAAGCACGCTCATTCTTGCGCGTACATATCATTTTATTTTCACCACCTGCAAACAAAGGAGCTCATAAAAGGGACATTACCTCATAGTTGCTCCACGTTTGCCCTCTGCTCATTTTGTTTTGGTTACACCGCGTCGTCAAATCATGTCGCGCAACATCGCATCTTGTCCTTACTTCCTGTTTTTGGTTCGTTTAGAAGTATTTGGTGCGTGTTGCGTTCATATTTCATTCGAACCTCACCAGAGTTCGTTTGAAGCGGACCGAGACCCATCTTTTTAGCGGTCTCGGTCCGCTTGTTTGGTGCGCACCAGGGTTTGGATGGCAGCGTTCACACTTACTCAAACGAACCGCACTAACAGAGCAATCGCACCAGAGTTCGTTTTAATCAAACCAAACATGACAGGTGTGAACACACCCTTAGAAAGGCCATGAAAAAGGATCCTGGAGTCATACCTTGTCATCAATGGTGTCAAACTTGGTGAGAACGATGCCGTCGATGAGCCTGGGTTTGTCAGTCTTGGAATGATCAGCCAGCGCTTGATTAAATTTAACCTACAACAAAGCAGAAAACATCCACTACATCAACAATGACCTGGAATATTTCTGAAAAGCTCAGGACTGGTTTTCAGATATCAGTTTCCCACATGCAGATGGATACAATAGAAACAGAACAAGTGAGAGAGTGGTAACCATCATGAATATCCTGTGATAGCCCAGATATAGTTTCTAATTGGCTGAATTACACCATGTTAACTTATCCTTGTGTATGTTTGATTTAAAGATGCGTTCACGCCATATCGTAATTACCACTTGTGAACTGGGAGTTTTCTGAGAGCTACAACTTGTACCACTACCACCTGACCACCTCAGATTCATTGGGTGCTATGTTTAGGCATTGAAAGTGCTATAGTTCCGAGTCCAAGGGTGTGAACAGCTCCGAGTAGAATGTCATGTGTTGTCATCTCGAAATCACAGTAATTACGACATGGCGTGAATGCAGCATAAGTCTCTCAGTGTTATTATACATAGATGTTGCCATGTTGTACCTGTTACTTTTCTCAAAGTAGTTCAAACGGACCAATCCATTTTTGTTATTATATAGCTTGGGGTCTGTGCGATTATTTATTTATTTTATTTGTTTGTTTTTGATGTTTGCTTACCGTGGCTGCGTGTATTTGAGCAAAAATACAATAAAAACTAATATTGTGAAATATCATTACAATTTAAAATATTTTTTTTGTATTTTAAACAATAAAAACCTATATCGACAAAAAAAAAATTAAAGTCAAAAACAACAAAATGACAACTTCAATTCAAAATAAAATGAAAACAAAATATAAAAATAATTCAAAATATGAATAAAACCTATAATAGTATCTCAAGAATACTAAAATAACACTGCTTCAGTCTTCAGTGACGCATGATCCTTCAGAAATCATTCTAATATGCTGATTTGATGCTCATAAAACATTTCTTAATATTATCAATGTTGAAAATGGTTTTTACTGCTTAATATTCAGTGCAAACCATGACACACTTTTAGGATTCTTTGCATATAAAGTTAAAAAGAAGAGCATTTGTTTTAAATAGAGATGCACTGAAATGAAAACGGACCGAAAATTCTTTGTAATTATTTATTTTATTAAATGATATAAAGTATATTTGTACTTTTGTTTTTCTCTTTCGGACGAAAACCAAAAATGCCATTTTCGGCCAATAATTTTCACGGCCGAAATTTCGGTGCATCCCTAATTTTAAATATAAATCTTATGTAAGATTATAAATGTGTTTACTGTAATTTCGATAAATTGAATGCATCCTTGTTGAATAAAGGTATCAATTTCTATTTAAAAAAAGAAACCCTGTCTAAAGTCATAATTTGGTCACTTTCACGGCATTCTTTCGATCTTCCTTGAAAGACACAAGTGTACATTTTGGAACAATATCCTGGCCACAATTTTCAATTGAATTTAAGTGGAAGCAGAATTTACTGAATTTGTAACAGCCCATTATTTTAGTATATAAACGGCTCTCTGAGACATCAAGCACTACCTAGTTCAAAAGCACTTTTTATTGTCCAGAAACATTTGTTGGCCAAAGATGGATACTTCATATGACACATTATGAAGCAGTGCCATCTACAGGCCTTATGTGTCATTACACCTACCAGCTGATCCACAGCCTCATTTCCCACCAGCGCTTCTCCCACAAACAGGACCAGGTCCGGGGTGTTGACCGTGATCAGCTTTGCCAGAGCCGTCATCAGAGGACCGTTATCCTGCATCCGGCCGGCGGTATCGATCAGCACCACGTCAAAGCCCTGGTTACGAGCTGCAGAGAGAGAGAGACGTGTTAACAGATGAATCCTTGTGAAGTTTCATTTCTTCTATAATCACATGGTTTTCTTTTTACCAAAGGCGATAGCCTCCATGGCGATCCCAGCAGCATCCTTGCCATAGCCCTTCTCGAAGAGCTGTACGGCGGGCTGCCCTCCGTGCTTCTCAGGGGGGTGCAGAGAGTTCAGACGGCGCTGATGAGTCCTCAGCTGCTCCACGGCTCCCGCGCGGAAGGTGTCACAGGCTGCGATGAGCACCGTGAAGCCGTTCTCGATCAGCCAATAAGAGATCTGTACCAAAAAAAAAAAACATGTCACATGACCTATGATCTCTATATTATATTCAACATTGCTGTTCAAGAAACATTTCTTATTATCAATGTTGAAAACAGTTGTGCTGCTTAATAATTTTAAATATTTATGATTTCATGTTTAAAAAAAAAAAAAGAGAGATACGTTTAATTTAGAAAAGACGCATTAAATTCATGTTACAAAAAAGTTTATTTCAAATAAATGCTGTTCTTTTGAGCTTTCTATTTATCCAAGAATCCTGAAAATGTTTCATGGTTTCCATAAATATATTAAGCATCAAAAACGGTTTACAACATTGATGATAATGAGAACCATTATTAATAGTTGAGCACCAATAATAATTGATCATAACTGAGCTCCAAATCAAATTAGATTGATTTCTGAAGGATCATGTGACAGTGAAGACTAAAGAAATAATGCTGAAAATTCAGTTTTGCATCACAGGAATAAACTACATTTTAAAATGTATTAAAATAGGAAACATTTCTTTGAAATTGTAATAATATTATTTCACAATATTACGGTTTTTACAGTATTTTTGATTTAAGTTCTCGAACAGCAAATAAGAAATATGTACCAAAAAAAAAAAACATGTCACATGACCTATGATCTCTATATTATATTCAACATTGCTGTTCAAGAAACATTTCTTATTATCAATGTTGAAAACAGTTGTGCTGCTTAATAATTTTAAATATTTATGATTTCATGTTTAAAAAAAAAAAAAAAGAGAGATACGTTTAATTTACAAAAGACGCATTAAATTCATGTTACAAAAAAAGTTTTTCAAATAAATGCTGTTCTTTTGAGCTTTCTATTTATCCAAGAATCCTGAAAATGTTTCATGGTTCCATAAATATATTAAGCATCAAAAACGGTTTACAACATTGATGATAATGAGAACCATTATTAATAGTTGAGCACCAATAATAATTGATCATAACTGAGCTCCAAATCAAATTAGATTGATTTCTGAAGGATCATGTGACAGTGAAGACTAAAGAAATAATGCTGAAAATTCAGTTTTGCATCACAGGAATAAACTACATTTTAAAATGTATTAAAATAGGAAACATTTCTTTGAAATTGTAATAATATTATTTCACAATATTACGGTTTTTACAGTATTTTTGATTTAATAAATGCAGCCTTGTTGAGAATGAGACTTCTTTCAAAAACATTAAAAACCATAAACTTTTTACAGTTGGCATGAAACCAGAAAACATACAAATTCTCAACTGCATATACATTTTTCTTTTTCATTTCAAGCGCTTCTTAACAAAAGTAAATTTCCAGTTATTCCACACCGTAAATTTCTATTGGGTAATTTCAAGAATTTGAAGAACCATGTGAGTTTTGTTTGTTTTTGTTTTACCTTGGCGAGGTTGGTGGACTTGCCGACGCCGTTCACCCCACAGAAGGTGATGACGAAGGGTTTGCGCTGAGAACGAGCCTCTAGCACGTCTCTCAAGATGTCCACACGCCGCTTGGGCTGCAAGATCTGCACCAGAGAGTCCTGCAGAGCCTGCTTTACTGTAGAGGCCACAGCTGGAGAGAAGGAGCCAGGAGAAGATTTAGAAGAGCTAAATAATCCAGGAAGGCCAGAAAGCAAGACAGAAGATAAACAGGTGTGTGGGAAAGCTCTTGTTTGGACGGGCTGTTCAGCAGCTGAGCGCTGTACTCACTGGTGAAAGTGCCCATGACTTTGCCTTCCAGTTTCTTGGCCACAGAGTTGCAGAGCTGGGAGGCGATTTCGGCTGCTACATTCTTGGCTAGAGAAACAAGAAGAGACAAACTGCAATTAGTTTGATCAAGTTATAACATAGGCTGTATACACAGTATATCAGCTAGTTTCTAGTTGTTTGTGATGAATGGAATCTTTAAGCATTATTTTGATCAGGCCCAAATCATTTAGACTTATTTGTGAACTTTTCAATTCAATTCATTAAAAAGAACTGACTGAAAAAAACAACTCACTCGTGAATCAAAAAAACGTTATGGCTCACGAGCAAGGTTTATAAAGATCAATAACTAGCTGTGGGGTTTTTAATCCCCAAATATGATCATCCTCATGTGAGATATTTTAAAAGGCAGCTATATATTTTCCATGTATAAATGCTGTGGAAGATTAATATTCTAAATGTGTAAAATTATATTTGGAAAATATTTTGTTTCCGTTATGCTTTTTTAAAAACCTATATTACTGTACTATTAGACGTAATTTTTATGTAAATAAATTAACTTAAAATTTGTATTTAATCGAATTTATTTATTTTAATCATTTTCTTTTATAAAAATAAAATACCTATAGTTTTTATACCTATAGTACTGTACAGTTGGTTGTACATATTTATATCATTTTTATTAAATCAAAATTTTCCTTATTTTAATCAGATTATTTTTGTTTTTTTTCTACATATATTGTGCTGTTAGATTTGTTTATTCATCAAATTTTATTTAAAATTATTAATTGTAATCATTTTTAAATCAATTTTATTCCACTTTTGTTGCATGTATTATTAATTTATATCATTTTTATGCATTTTAATCTATTTTTATTTGACTTTTTATTTTATATTTCACAATATGCTTCTTTTACTGTACTGTTAAACTTATTCATTTATATCAATTTTACTATTTAAGACATTTTTATTTTATTCAAATGTTTTTTAAACAATTTTATTACACATTTTCAACTATAATATCTTATTTTAAGTTATATAATTTATATCAATTTTTATTTACAGCTCTCCAAAGCTCTTCCCGCCCATATCCCACACCCGCTTCATCTTCCCCTTTGGCTTCTGGGGTTTAGGGGACTTACTGTACAATACATTTAAATTGACATTTAATCATTTAGCGGATGCTTTTATCCAAAGCAACTTACAAATGAAATACAACAAAATAAAAACTTGTGAATGATACTAAAATGTGATACTATTATATAGTTTTTTTAATATTTAGAATTTTTATATTTTCACTTTAAATTTTAGTTAAAGTTTTAAAACGTATTTTGTTGTGTGTTTGACATTTTTATTAGATTCATTTTTTTAATTTAATAGTTTACCATTTTAGTATTTTAACTTAAACGAAAATTAGAAATGTTGCTTTGCTAACTAGTTGAAATGTATTATTATTAATAATATTTTATGCTTATTTGATTTCAAGTTATTAATTTTTTTATGGTTTAAATGTATGTTAACATGACGACGACTGTACTAAAAACAGAAAAGTTTTTCCTTTGCATTTTTGAAAAGTTTCGCATATAGAGAACAATGTTATCAAAACGATCCCCATTCACACAGATCCACGAAAACAACTAAAAACGCTGTATTATCCATGCCAGGCCAGTAGGTGGCGATGTCACTTTGTAAAAAAAAACACTACGCGCCTACAAATATACCTATAAGCCGGGTTTCCATCCAAAGTTGCGAATTTAACTTATGCTCAAAACTGGAATATCGCATAAAACATTTGCGAACAAGCATTGTTTCCATCCAACAAGTCAAAGAGAACTAAATTGTCACTTCCTGATAAACTGGCACTATAAATCACTAAGAAAAGTAGGAGAATATAATCATTTTCATATATAATAAATGACTTGCGCCTCAGAGCGAGCAGACGAAACACAATGAATGCGGTCATTGCTTTCGGAGGTGGATGCTGCTGTTTGGGAACGCAGTCGTGCAAGACATTTCTGGGAGGCAATTATACAGAAATACTTTGACGACAAGACTTTGCTTGTGTATTTCCGAATGACCATAACAACATTTCAGATGCTGTGAATGAGATCGGTCCGCAGGTTAGTCAGGTTTTGCCGGCCCATAGCACAGTCACATGACTTTTTTTGATGCGCTTGGAGGAATTTATTCGCAAAATGCATTTTCATCTCCCATTATTCTCATCAATCCTTTTTCACACAAGTCAAAAACCACCTCAAGCCAGCGTAAAAACTTTTTTGCGAATTAAAGGGTTACTCCACCCCAAAATTAAAATGGTCTTTAATCACTTTCCCCCCATGTCGTTCCAAACCCGTAAAAGCTTCGTTCGTCTTCGGAACACAATTTAAGTTATTTTGGATGAAAACCGGGAGGCTTGTGACTGTCCCATTGACTGCCAAGTAACTTACACTGTCAAGGTCCAGAAAAGTATGAAAGACATCGTCAGAATAGTCCATCTGCCATCAGTGGTTCAACCGTAACGTTATGAAGCGACGAGAATACTTTTTGTACGCGAAGAAAACAAAAATAACAACTTTATTCAACAATTCGTCTCCTCTGTGTCTCTCTGCATCACCGTAGCGCCATTTTGGAGAATATGCGCTGAACGCAAACTGCGTACGCTCTTCTGTGTCAGCCGTGACACAAGGATACGTTTTCTACGTGTATTTACGCTTTGATTTGAACGAAAACTGTGCATCCGTGCAGCGCGGCTAACATACAATAGCGTACGCTGCTTGCATTCAGCGCATATTCTCCAAAATGGTGATGCAGAGAGACACAGAGGAGACGAATTGTTGAATAAAGTTGTTATTTTTGTTTTCTTCGCGTACAAAAAGTATTCTCGTCGCTTCATAACGTTACGGTTGAACTACTGATGGACTATTCTGACGATGTCTTTCATACTTTTCTGGACCTTGACAGTGTAATTTACTTGGCAGGCAATGGGACAGTCACAAGCCTCCCGGTTTTCATCCAAAATATCCTAAATTGTGTTCCGAAGATGAACGAAGCTTTTACGGGTTTGGAACGACATGGGGGGGAAAGTAATTAATGACAAAATTTTCATTTTGGGGTGGAGTATCCCTTTAAGGGATTTGAATTCGAAATTTGGCGTTTCCATCACTCGTGTGATACTTCAAAATGCGCATTAAAATAGGGTGATGGAAACAGCTATACACTGAACACGTAATATGCATGTGCACGACGTCACTGTTTTCACAAATTCATGTTTTTGTAGTTTACACAGAGATGATACCGTTTTCAAAAACTTGCACTTTGAAACTCATTTTCAAAAGTTTCTGTTTTCAGTAAATGAACGGCCTAAAGAGGTTTTTGTTGAATAAGGTATCGTGTAAACACCCCCTTAGTTAATGATAACAACCCTGCTTTAAAAATCATCTTTAGTCAGGATAAATTATTATAACTATGTAATCAGATGACCAATATGTTGGTTTAAGTGATTTAGTGAAAGCCATGTTGAGATCTGTGACACCCATATGGCCCACAATTCAAAAGTAGGGCCTCATTTGCCACAAACAAAGCTTTTTCTCACAATTCAGTGTCTTACCTGGACTTTTCTGGCTTTCCGCCACCCAACTGCTTGCTGATGAACTTGGCACGGTTCCTCTCGATAATCTCCTCTTGGGTCAGGCCCTCGTTTCCATTCTCCACAGCTTTTTTCGAGGCAGTCTGTGAGGCAGCTTTAGCCTGATCCCCTCCTGATTCAGCTGAAGAGAAGAAATGAAAGAACGGTTATATTAACAAACCTATAGCTTCGGAAGAGCCACTGGCTCTCGTAGGTGGTTTCCTTTATTAATCCTCTCTCACATTTCTCACCCTCCTTTTTGGCATTTTTACTTTTCTTGCCTCCTTGCTCCTTGCTTTTGTCTCCATCTTTTGTCTCAATCATAGACTTCACAGTTTTCTGGGATTTCTGGGACTCATTGAAAGTCCTCATAGAGACGGAGGCCTTGGCTTTGCTGCTGCCCTCTGCCTCCCTGCAAAACACACCCATCATATAATGATGATGCCTAGAGTTTAAGTGCTGAAAATAATATAACAATGTGGACACAGCTCTGTTTCTACTGGTAATTCTTCAGTTATTTTGATCCTTTTGAAAGGTTTAGCTTTAGTGTGTAAAATTATTTTTTCAGACAATAAATGCTTTTTTAGGTCTAGCTCACCGCAGAAGTCTGCGGAAGTCATCTCCAAACTCAAAATTATTGAGCAGAAACTTTAGGGCGCCTCTCTGCTCCAGCTCATTCTTGTATCGATCTCTGAAGTGCAGCTGGACATCATCTATGAACTTGTCCACATACGTCAGCGTCAGGATCTTTTGAAAACCCACCTGAGACGGCAGAAGCACACAATCAGACATACGGACAGCTGAGTCATGGGACACTGACTGATCTGAAGAAGCACATTATTTGCATTGAAAGGAGGAAAATAAGCACTCACCACAAACACAAGCTCAAACTCATTGTCCAGCTTGCATTTAAGACTGAGGGCATTGTGGGTGAAGGAGTTATTGCCACTCCTCTCCTGCAAATGGAGAGGCAAAAAACAAACATTCAACTTCAAATATGTCTTAACATACATGTTGCTATAATCTAAATCTGAAATTTCATGATGAATCAAATGAAATGAAATGCTGTACTTGGCTGGAACACAGACCAAAAGTCGTTTTGAAGCGGTGGATTGCAATATAGACACTTGATGTGTTCTCATGCTAGATTCATTTGAAGTTAGATAATAGCTGATCAGGACTTTGTCATAATTGTCAGGACTTTTTTCCTCTGAATTGTGAGCTATTGAAATATAATTGTGATAAAACAAACTGATATAACAATTATTTTCTAATAATATGATATCATTTTATAAGAGTTATTATTATTTATAAGAAGACATACTAAACTTGATTTGACAGTGTGCTATAAGCTATATTTTTTTATTGACTCTCACAAGCAATTACATTTTTAGTGTTCTTTAAAGAATTCAAATATATATATATATCAATATCTTGAAAACTAGATAGATATACATACATTTATGAATATGGGTCAAAGACGTTAAGATGTCCGCATCAATCAGAAATGTACAAAAAAGTGATTATATGTCCATAGAAAGCACATTAAATATAAGTAAAGTGTCTACTATTAAGGTTTCAGATAAGTTTTTGAAAAATAAAATGTACAAATTTGGTTGAAATAATGTTACATTGTCATTCAGTGCGACACAATATTTATGTAAAAATTCAAACACGCTTATTCTGACCTGTACATATTAAAACATATAAAAGAATAAGCATTAAATATAAGTAAAGTGTCTACTATTAAGGTTTCAGATAAGTTTTTGAAAAATAAAATGTACAAATTTGGTTGAAATAATGTTACATTGTCATTCAGTGCGACACAATATTTATGTAAAAATTCAAACAACACGCTTATTCTGACCTGTACATATTAAAACATATAAAAGAATAAGGGAGCATATTCAATTTGATGCGTTTTAAATGAGTACTTACTGACAAATGGGCAAAACCTAATATTTTTTTATTGACTCTCACAAGCAATTACATTTTTAGTGTTCTTTAAAGAATTCAAATATATATATATATCAATATCTTGAAAACTAGATAGATATACATACATTTATGAATATGGGTCAAAGACGTTAAGATGTCCGCATCAATCAGAAATGTACAAAAAAGTGATTATATGTCCATAGAAAGCACATTAAATATAAGTAAAGTGTCTACTATTAAGGTTTCAGATAAGTTTTTGAAAAATAAAATGTACAAATTTGGTTGAAATAATGTTACATTGTCATTCAGTGCGACACAATATTTATGTAAAAATTCAAACACGCTTATTCTGACCTGTACATATTAAAACATATAAAAGAATAAGGGAGCATATTAAATTTGGTGCGTTTTAAATGAGTACTTACTGACAAATGGGCAAAACCTAGGATAGTGGGACATTTAAAAAATTACAACTAATTAGTATTTGGGGTTTAAGTAATTCGTTTTTTAATATATGTCATAAATTGATTTTTGTTGTAAATATGCCTGACAAGATTGTTACACTGAATTACATTTGAGTGGGTTTCTTCTGTAAATCAGGGGAAAACGTATGCTATTTAAATATAAAATTAAAAAGTATGAAAACTTTTTAATTTTGGGGGGGGGGGCAACAACAATTTAAAGCAGTATTACACTTATTGCTTTTATGCTTAAACCCTTTTTCCCATATACAATTTTGCAAGGAATAGTAATAAGATAATTATAAACAAAACATGAAAAGCGTCTACTTTGAGCTCTCTCTGGTTGTCTAGGCTGGTCCAACACGCACAAACTCCGACTCAAACGCATCTGTAAGTCAATATTCGAGCTATTTTACATCCTCCTACACAGCAACTACAGTCACCGACATCACCCCTCACAGCTCCGCCCGTGTGTTTGCTGGGCCGGACTGTTGCTACGCTGACTGGACGGGTTACCTGCAGGATGACGGCGCGGATGAGAGCGTTGACGGGCCCGGTGAAGGACTCGGCCACTCCGGCCCCCTGGAAACACCACAACACGATCCCCCCTTTACTGAAGATGGCGAAGAAGTCCAGCATCTTTGCCACTCACGAACGAGCCCAATACTACGAGGAACAGAACAAACACCGTTCAACATAAAACGAAAACGTGTAAAAAAAATAAAAATAAATAAATAAGTGCTCCAGAGTTGGCCCGCGCTCGAGTGAACGTGCGCAGCGCTGAATGAAGACTCGACGCACAATCAGACACGTCAGTGGCACAATGAGGAAGTGACGCAACGTCAGATTGGATCCACTAACGTTAAGTTAAGAAAATTCCGATTTTTGTAATGAATGCTTTAATTACGTTTTTAATCGATTTTTGATTTATGAATGCAGATTTACGTTTCTTAAAAATAATAAAAACCTCCAGGTGCATACGTCTAAAAAGTAACTTTTACTAATATACCGATTCTCCCATTTTTATACTATTAGATGTATATGTATTTTCACGTTTTTAGGACATATAGCTTATTCTGTTATTAGTGTATATATATATATATATTATAAGCGATCTGTATTTTCCACCAACATCACTTCCGGTTTTGTAATCCTCTCTGGTGTCTGTTTTCGCTGCTGCTCAGTTGGCAAAGATGGCGTCGGAACCGAACAAGACAGAAATTCTCACCATTTTTAAACGTTTGCGCTCCATACCTACAAACAAGGTAACACACCAGGTCTTACTGAAATCGAGCTGTGAATGTTTTCATTGTCGTTCTGGCCTGTTCTGAGACATCCATATGAGTGTTTCGTGTGGGATTACGTGTCATTTGTTTGTCGCTAAGCCGGTGTTGATGAGGCCCGGGTCTCATCCAGCACATCATGTTTACTGCCAGCATCACACCTGAAAAACACACCTGTTTCAAGCTGTCAAACACTAATGACTTGATATTAACAAGCTATTAGTCCTAATTAACAAGCTATTAGGACTAAAGGAGCCGCCTTGAAAGAAAGCCCTCGATTACCGGCTGTCTGTTTCACGAGACTGACGCAATGGCGATGGAAAATGACTCATCCTGTAATAATGTACCTCAAAACCCGCGGAGAAGCCTGTCTAGAATGTCCCAAAGATGGATCGAACTCATTCATATTTGTAAAATATGTATATTAGGGCATGAAATCGCGGGTTAATGTACATTCAGATTAGTTGGACGTATTTTTAAACTTTTATTCTCATTATTTATATATAGGTGCATTTCAGTAAATTAGAATGTCGTGGAGAAGTTCATTTATTTCAGTAATTCAACTCAAATTGTGAAAATCGTGTATTAAATAAATTCAGTGCACACAGACTGAAGTAGTTTAAGTCTTTGGTTCTTTTAATTGTGATGATTTTGGCTCACATTTAACAAAAACCCACCAATTCACTATCTCAACAAATTAGAATACTTCATAAGACCAATAAAAAATTTTTTTTTAGTGAATTGTTGGCCTGCTGGAAAGTGCAGTCTGTGTGCATTGAATTTATTTAATACACGAGTTTCACAATTTGAGTTGAATTACTGAAATAAATGAAATTTTCCACGACATTCTCATTTATTGAGATGCACCTGTACATAAAAATGGAACATCTGTCTGTCTGCAGTCTTCAAGTGCATTTCAACTATTTAATAGCATGGAGCCCATGTTATTAACCTGGAGAGGACATGTGAAGACATATGTCATTTTGAGGACAGGAATTTTACAGTAGTTTACACAGTTTTTTTTATGAGGCAGTTTTAATAAAGTGGTGTGTTTGTTTTTAGGCCTGCTTTGACTGTGCTGCTAAGAACCCGAGTTGGGCCAGTATTCCGTATGGAGTGTTTCTGTGCATTGACTGTTCTGGGATACATCGCTCCTTGGGAGTTCACTTGAGCTTTATCAGGTCAGTCTGGACTTCTATTGTTTTCTCTAATTGTTAAATTATGCCGTCATGTGAATGTCTGTCAATGTTTTTATTCACCCATGGTGTTACAGAATGTCACATTCATTCGTTCGCAAGAGTTCGAGGGTGAGTTAAAGCGTAGAATATTGTCTTTTCAGATCCACAGAGCTGGATTCCAACTGGAGCTGGTTTCAGCTGAGATGTATGCAGGTTGGAGGAAATGCCAACGCGGTTAGTCCCTTTATCCCTGACTCATGTTTTATTCGATTGTGCTGGTTTTAACCCTGTGAGAACTTTTTTTTTTTTTTTTTAAACCGAGTTAAGCCAGACACAGTTTTAGAGTTTTAGCAAAAAAAAATTTCTCTCCATGAAAATAGCCACAGAAGCTGGCATGGTGTTAAATACAAACAAACCAACGTGCTTAGTTCTTCTTTTTCCTACCGTATAGTATGCATGCAGTTGCATCAGTTCTGCCTTTAAAACTTAGCCTATACTGTAGACACTGTGCATGTTACATCACTTCATCACTCCCATGTTTTCTTTGTGCACAGATGGGGTTTTTCTGCCAGCATGGGTGTACCACCAATGACACCAATGCGAAGTATAACAGTCGTGCGGCTCAGATGTACAGAGAGAAGATTCGACAGCTTGCCAACGCTGCGCTCTCCAAGTATGGCACTGATGTGAGTATACGAATCTCATACTGTTCCAGCATTATCTCTTCCAAGAAAATGAACTATGCCCTGTGGATTTGTTGTCAGCATTGGTTATTTAAAGATGTTTTCGTGTCATGCTATTAACATGCGCTTTCAAACTGGCTTTGCTTCAAGATTTTACTTTGGACATCATGTGTGGGTTTTATTACAACAGGCCTGTGTTTATAAGTAACCTGAATGTTTACTTTCCAAACCCCAATAATTCCGAGAACTACACATTTGTTTAGTTATGTAAAGTAATGCAAAGAGATATTCGGATGTCATCTTTTTATATGCAGCTGTGGTGTTTGTTATATTGAATAAACTTTGAACTTGAGTCACTGAACAATGTCCACGTTACATAGCTACGTAGATAGCACAACAGCACAAATACGCACTGTATTTGGAGAGCTGCTTTCAGGACATTTATTTAGATGATTTTTCCTTTTCACCATTTAGCTGTGGATTGACAACTCAAGCTGTGCTCAGCCATCACCTACAGAGAAGAGAGAGACTGACTTCTTTGATGAGCACACACAGGTAGGACACACAGATTTGTGCATTTTGAATTATAAATGGTTAGAGTTTTATTGTCTAAAGGAGCACTTATTTATTGTGTTTATTTAAAAAAAGAGTTTGACTGATAATTCAGGGCGGACCAGTTTACCTGGTAACAGGATTCTCACAGTCAGAGAAACCTAGAAATATCAGAGAATTATGTATTGAACCCTTTTCACAGACTTTGGTGAGGTTCCACAGTTATTACCATTGTAAATCTAGCAGTTTCTTTTTAGAGAAATTCCTAAACAATTATTACACTATACTGTGTTTTATATGACCTCGCATTAAATTAAAGAATACTATTTAACACTTAATCAGTTAGTAATCAAGTGATGTTTTTATGTTCTCTTACATTTTAAGTCAAGTCCATATTCTGTTATTGTGAATGACTGAAAATGATGTTGATGTTCAGTTTCGGGTGAACTCTCTTTAAATTTGTGCTCGTGCAGATATGCCATTATTATTATGGCTTGATGTGTTAAATTTGATAATTGTTCTGTTACCTGCAGCCTGCCAACAGTTGGAACATAGCTTCCCCATCCCTAATGGATGAGAATGGAGCCATAACCCCTCAACTGGAGCAGAGCAATCTTAAGAGTTCAGAAACCAGCACTCGTGAGTGGACCACATTACATATCATAACACATGCGTTTCATTGTCAGTACTTTTATATTTAATCATTTCTTGTCCATGTGAACCAGAACCTGAAGAGGGTCCGAGCATTGAAGGACTGAGCACAAGTCCTAAAGCCACAATAGGTGAGTGTTTCCTGGATTGTGTGTTTGAGCGCTCAGGAGGAATGTACATTACCAACACAACACCCAATGTTTCAGTTTCTCTCTTCACCACCCAATTCCCCATATTATTTTGGAAGTATTTTCTCACCAAACATTGGTGAATCACTAAGTAAGTCAAGCTCCAGGACCTGTTTGGAAAACTAATGAAGTATCCCATGCTATGAAATGAAGTAAAAAAGTGCTATGGTACTTGTAAAATTGCATGGTTTAAAAAACATTTTATAAATAATATGACAAAAACACATAACTATGTACTTAAGGCTCTTAAAATCATGTGTATGTGTAATAGCAAGCCAACAAATGTAATTCTGCAACATTCTTTGCAAATGAATTGAAAGCCTACTGTCTGTTCTGTTAATGTAGATGACTCAATGAGATTGACGTCTGAAGAGTCTCCTGAAGGTGATTTGAATGATTTTGAAATGGCAGGATGCCTATTGGCTGATCAGAACGAAGCAGCATGGGTTCTGCGCTTGACTGATACTTAATTTGAGTGTGTGTGTGCCTCTTTGGCACCACCCCTTCCTCTTTATCATAATATTACTGCAAAACTGATCATATTTTAAAAGCTTGGTGTTACCGTAAAAATAGTCTTTACTGCTTTTAAATAATAATGCATTTTCTTACCAATTCAGATCTATTCAGGGTGTCAGTGTATATTGCACTGACACAATTGTTGACTGGGATTTAATTTAAAATTGAGTAATTCAATGCTGATCAACATTATGAAATACATGCTGTTAATAGAGCTTAAAGCCCAAAGTATAATTCAGTTTTGACACAAACACACACGTACAGCTAAAAACATAGCCTTTATAAGGATTCTCCATTTGATAGTGTGACATGTGCGGACTAGATAGTGTCCGCGATATTTTATATATATATATATATATTTTATTAATAAAAATGCCTTTGTACTCGCTTAAACTAGTTGTGGGTATCTCTTAATTCCCCACATATTTTATATATATATTTTCATTTAACAAAATATGTACTTTAAAAAAAAGAATAATAATTTTGTAAATTTTTAATGCTGCTGTGTGAGTGTTTCTAACACTTGGCTGAGGGAGTGACGGCAGATTTGACATCTTTCTCTGTTCTGACCAATGTAATCAATCTCTCAATTCTTTTTCTTTTGGAATGTCACTGAAACGCTATCATGGATTGTTTTTTTTCTTTTGCTATTAGGGAACACAGAAAACCAAAAATTATATAAATTCACTCCGCTATGACAACTTCTGCTTCTGAGAACCACAGAAATGTGAAAAGGGTCAATTGTTGTTGCACATGTATGGGCTGGGCGTACAAAGTATGCAAAATTTGGCTGTGCGCATAAAGTACACATAATATGCTGATGATAAACTTTGTGCACTTATTCATACCTTAGTTTACACATAAAAACTTAAGTATATTTTGGGCTCCACTTCTATTGAACCTGGAACATTACTTGAAATTGATCATTTTAATGACTATCAACTACGAACATTTCTGCTATTATTGACGTCTCTATTATATGTATTTATAGCAGAACTAACCTATATGCTGTGTAATTATTCTTACTTGCTGAGTATTTGCCAGTTCTGACTCCTAAAGTGGGGCAAGTTGTCACTGAACCACTTTTTGTGACCCGAGTTTGTTTCTTCATTTGAACAGATACAGAGAAATGTAGAACTCTCCAGTGGATCCTCTGCAGTGGATGGGTGCCGTCAGAATGAGAGTCCAAACAGCTGATAAAAACATCACAATAATCCACACCACTCCAGTCCACCAATTAAAGCTGCACGTTTATAAGAAACACATCCATCAAGCTATCTTTTTTTCCCCCCTAAAATGAGTCCTTTTCTGAATCAGGAGAGAAATATGCACAGAGCAGAAACGGTTCAAAACAATCGCGTGGATTATTGTGATGTTTTTATCAGCTGTTTGAACTTGAACTTGAAATTTTTGGGTGAACTATTCCCTCCTATTCTACTCAAAAGTGGCATATCTTGTCCCACTTTCCCATAGTTGGTGTGTAAAGTTACTCGCTGACAAAAAAAAGTAATGTAGGGTTTTCTAATCTGATAAAGTGCGCTCATGCACTTTCCAGAGTGGACCCAGAGCTCTTCTGTGTTTTTCTGGTCTGGATTGAGATTAGAGCGGCTTTTCATTGTTGATCAGGATGCAGTGGATGTAAATCTTAAAACCAGTTTCAGCAGTCGTCTTAGCACAAAGCTTCCAGACGCCCCAATTTTCGGCTAATTTATGGACTCATTGGATCAATATGTAATAGTAATGCTGCAGGAATGTTCCCAGTGTTCATGTGTACACTTTAAATGCACTCTTGCTCTGATAATCGAATTGATTATGTGAGGTGTGACCTCTTTCTTTTCCTCAGGCTTTGCCGGCATTATATTTCTCAGGGCACTGTTGGCTCTGTCGCCATGCACTAATGATCCTTGTCTGGAGAAGTTGTGTTCTCTGGAATAATCTAGGAGAACATGGTTTCCTGTTTCCCTTTCTCTGACTATGCTGTCTGTTTCCAGAAGTAAACCCCTCCATTATAGGAAAGAAGAAGCCAGCCACTGCAAAGAAAGGGGTAGGTGAACAATCAGTGCCCTCAGTCACTTCCTGTTGAGGGAATTGTACTTCCTGATCTTGCAGTGTTCAGTTTTAGTCAGTAGGTGTCAGTCTTGCGGCACTATACAGAAACTGGCTCTGCCTAAAACTAAAGAAAACCAGTAATTATTCGGAATTTAATTTTTTTTTTTTATTGAAGTTACTCAATTCTCTTTATTATAGCAGGAGATATAAAAACAGATGACAGTTGACACTTAACTGCAGCATTTATTTAAGAGTTTTAATGAATTTCACAATCTGTGAACAACATGTCTGGGTCATATTTCATCTCAAAATCGAATTATATTTTACTCATAATTATAGTTTCATAACAAGTAAGCACAATTGACTTAATATTATGGCACTGAAATAATTCAGTTAAATGTATTGTTATAAAATTTTTACTGTATTTATATGTACTGTAATTGCATAATTGCAACTGTAAAAGCATAATCCTAGTTCTCATTCATGAGAATAACATTTTTATTTTAATATTATGGTACTGACATAATTCAGTTAAATGTATTGTAATAAAAATTGCACTTTATATTATTTAAAATTAAATATGAGTACTTTTTGAACTGCTTTTATATAGATAAATGTATAAATTATTCTGTTAATTCTATTGATCTGTCACATACAGGTGCATCTCAATAAATTAGAATGTCGTGGAAAAGTTCATTTATTTCAGTAATTCAACTCAAATTGTGAAAATCGTGTATTAAATAAATTCAATGCACACAGACTGAAGTAGTTTAAGTCTTTGGTTCTTTTAATTGTGATGATTTTGGCTCACATTTAACAAAAACCCACCAATTCACTATCTCAACAAATTAGAATACTTCATAAGACCAATAAAAAAACATTTTTAGTGAATTGTTGGCCTTCTGGAAAGTATGTTCATTTACTGTACATGTACTCAATACTTGGTAGGGGCTCCTTTTGCATGAATTACTGCATCAGTGCGGCGTGGCATGGAGACAATCAGCCTGTGGCACTGCTCAGGTGTAATGGAAGCCCAGGTTGCTTTGATAGCGGCCTTCAGGTCATCTGCATTGTTGGGTCTGGTGTCTCTCATCTTCCTCTTGACAATACCCCATAGATTCTCTATGGGGTTCAGGTCTGGTGAGTTTGCTGGCCAGTCAAGCACACCAACACCATGCTCATTTAACCAACTTTTGGTGCTTTTGGCAGTGTGGGCAGGTGCCAAATCCTGCTGGAAAATGAAATCAGCATCTTCAAAAAGCTGGTCAGCAGAAGTGTGTGTGCCTCTTTGGCACCACCCCTTCCTCTTTATCATAATATTACTGCAAAACTGATCATATTTTAAAAGCTTGGTGTTACCGTAAAAATAGTCTTTACTGCTTTTAAATAATAATGCATTTTCTTACCAATTCAGATCTATTCAGGGTGTCAGTGTATATTGCACTGACACAATTGTTGACTGGGATTTAATTTAAAATTGAGTAATTCAATGCTGATCAACATTATGAAATACATGCTGTTAATAGAGCTTAAAGCCCAAAGTATAATTCAGTTTTGACACAAACACACACGTACAGCTAAAAACATAGCCTTTATAAGGATTCTCCATTTGATAGTGTGACATGTGCGGACTAGATAGTGTCCGCGATATTTTATATATATATATATATATTTTATTAATAAAAATGCCTTTGTACTCGCTTAAACTAGTTGTGGGTATCTCTTAATTCCCCACATATTTTATATATATATTTTCATTTAACAAAATATGTACTTTAAAAAAAAGAATAATAATTTTGTAAATTTTTAATGCTGCTGTGTGAGTGTTTCTAACACTTGGCTGAGGGAGTGACGGCAGATTTGACATCTTTCTCTGTTCTGACCAATGTAATCAATCTCTCAATTCTTTTTCTTTTGGAATGTCACTGAAACGCTATCATGGATTGTTTTTTTTCTTTTGCTATTAGGGAACACAGAAAACCAAAAATTATATAAATTCACTCCGCTATGACAACTTCTGCTTCTGAGAACCACAGAAATGTGAAAAGGGTCAATTGTTGTTGCACATGTATGGGCTGGGCGTACAAAGTATGCAAAATTTGGCTGTGCGCATAAAGTACACATAATATGCTGATGATAAACTTTGTGCACTTATTCATACCTTAGTTTACACATAAAAACTTAAGTATATTTTGGGCTCCACTTCTATTGAACCTGGAACATTACTTGAAATTGATCATTTTAATGACTATCAACTACGAACATTTCTGCTATTATTGACGTCTCTATTATATGTATTTATAGCAGAACTAACCTATATGCTGTGTAATTATTCTTACTTGCTGAGTATTTGCCAGTTCTGACTCCTAAAGTGGGGCAAGTTGTCACTGAACCACTTTTTGTGACCCGAGTTTGTTTCTTCATTTGAACAGATACAGAGAAATGTAGAACTCTCCAGTGGATCCTCTGCAGTGGATGGGTGCCGTCAGAATGAGAGTCCAAACAGCTGATAAAAACATCACAATAATCCACACCACTCCAGTCCACCAATTAAAGCTGCACGTTTATAAGAAACACATCCATCAAGCTATCTTTTTTTCCCCCCTAAAATGAGTCCTTTTCTGAATCAGGAGAGAAATATGCACAGAGCAGAAACGGTTCAAAACAATCGCGTGGATTATTGTGATGTTTTTATCAGCTGTTTGAACTTGAACTTGAAATTTTTGGGTGAACTATTCCCTCCTATTCTACTCAAAAGTGGCATATCTTGTCCCACTTTCCCATAGTTGGTGTGTAAAGTTACTCGCTGACAAAAAAAAGTAATGTAGGGTTTTCTAATCTGATAAAGTGCGCTCATGCACTTTCCAGAGTGGACCCAGAGCTCTTCTGTGTTTTTCTGGTCTGGATTGAGATTAGAGCGGCTTTTCATTGTTGATCAGGATGCAGTGGATGTAAATCTTAAAACCAGTTTCAGCAGTCGTCTTAGCACAAAGCTTCCAGACGCCCCAATTTTCGGCTAATTTATGGACTCATTGGATCAATATGTAATAGTAATGCTGCAGGAATGTTCCCAGTGTTCATGTGTACACTTTAAATGCACTCTTGCTCTGATAATCGAATTGATTATGTGAGGTGTGACCTCTTTCTTTTCCTCAGGCTTTGCCGGCATTATATTTCTCAGGGCACTGTTGGCTCTGTCGCCATGCACTAATGATCCTTGTCTGGAGAAGTTGTGTTCTCTGGAATAATCTAGGAGAACATGGTTTCCTGTTTCCCTTTCTCTGACTATGCTGTCTGTTTTCAGAAGTGAAACCCTCCATTATAGGAAAGAAGAAGCCAGCCACTGCAAAGAAAGGGGTAGGTGAACAATCAGTGCCCTCAGTCACTTCCTGTTGAGGGAATTGTACTTCCTGATCTTGCAGTGTTCAGTTTTAGTCAGTAGGTGTCAGTCTTGCGGCACTATACAGAAACTGGCTCTGCCTAAAACTAAAGAAAACCAGTAATTATTCGGAATTTAATTTTTTTTTTTTATTGAAGTTACTCAATTCTCTTTATTATAGCAGGAGATATAAAAACAGATGACAGTTGACACTTAACTGCAGCATTTATTTAAGAGTTTTAATGAATTTCACAATCTGTGAACAACATGTCTGGGTCATATTTCATCTCAAAATCGAATTATATTTTACTCATAATTATAGTTTCATAACAAGTAAGCACAATTGACTTAATATTATGGCACTGAAATAATTCAGTTAAATGTATTGTTATAAAATTTTTACTGTATTTATATGTACTGTAATTGCATAATTGCAACTGTAAAAGCATAATCCTAGTTCTCATTCATGAGAATAACATTTTTATTTTAATATTATGGTACTGACATAATCCAGTTAAATGTATTGTAATAAAAATTGCACTTTATATTATTTAAAATTAAATATGAGTACTTTTTGAACTGCTTTTATATAGATAAATGTATAAATTATTCTGTTAATTCTATTGATCTGTCACATACAGGTGCATCTCAATAAATTAGAATGTCGTGGAAAAGTTCATTTATTTCAGTAATTCAACTCAAATTGTGAAAATCGTGTATTAAATAAATTCAATGCACACAGACTGAAGTAGTTTAAGTCTTTGGTTCTTTTAATTGTGATGATTTTGGCTCACATTTAACAAAAACCCACCAATTCACTATCTCAACAAATTAGAATACTTCATAAGACCAATAAAAAAACATTTTTAGTGAATTGTTGGCCTTCTGGAAAGTATGTTCATTTACTGTACATGTACTCAATACTTGGTAGGGGCTCCTTTTGCTTTAATTACTGCCTCAATTCGGCGTGACATGGAGGTGATCAGTTTGTGGCACTGCTGAGGTGGTATGGAAGCCTAGGTTTCTTTGACAGTGGCCTTCAGCTCATCTGCATCAACGCTTCTGACGTTGTCTGTGGTTCAGGAGTGGCTTAACAAGAGTGAATACAACAACTGTAGCCAAATTCCTTGACACGTCTGTTTGCGGTGGCTCTTGATGCCTTGACCCCAGCCTCAGTCCATTCCTTGTGAAGTTCACTCAAATTCTTGAATCGATTTTGCTTGACAATCCTCATAAGGCTGCGGTTCTCTTGGTTGGTTGTGCATCTTTTTCTTCCACACTTTTTCCTTCCACTCAACTTTCTGTTAACATGCTTGGATACAGCACTCTGTGAACAGCCAGCTTCTTTGGCAATGCATGTTTGTGGCTTACCCTCTTTGTGAAGGATGTCAATGATTGTCTTCTGGACAACTGTCAGATCAGCAGTCTTCCCCATGATTGTGTAGCCTAGTGAACAAACTGAGAGACCATTTTGAAGGCTCAGGAAACCTGTGCAGGTGTTTTGAGTTGATTAGCTGATTGGCATGTCACCATATTCTAATTTGTTGAGATAGTGAATTGGTGGGGTTTTGTTAAATGTGAGCCAAAATCACCACAATTACGTGGAAAAGTTCAACTCAAATTGTGAAACTCGTGTATTAAATAAATTCAGTGCACACAGACTGAAGTAGTTTAAGTTTTTGGTTCTTTTAATTGTGATGATTTTGGCTCACATTTAACAAAAACCCACCAATTCACTATCTCAACAAATTAGAATACTTCATAAGACCAATAAAAAAACATTTTTAGTGAATTGTTGGCCTTCTGGAAAGTATGTTCATTTACTGTACATGTACTCAATACTTGGTAGGGGCTCCTTTTGCTTTAATTACTGCCTCAATTCGGAGTGGCGTGGAGGTGATCAGTTTGTGGCACTGCTGAGGTGGTATGGAAGCCCAGGTTTCTTTGACAGTGGCCTTCAGCTCATCTGCATTTTTTGGTCTCTTGTTTCTCATTTTCCTCTTGACAATACCCCATAGATTCTCTATGGGGTTCAGGTCTGGTGAGTTTGCTGGCCAGTCAAGCACACCAACACCATGGTCATTTAACCAACTTTTGGTGCTTTTGGCAGTGTGGGCAGGTGCCAAATCCTGCTGGAAAATGAAATCAGCATCTTCAAAAAGCTGGTCAGCAGAAGGAAGCATGAAGTGCTCCAAAATTTCTTGGTAAACGGGTGCAGTGACGTTGGTTTTCAAAAAACACAATGGACCAACACCAGCAGATGACATTGCACCCCAAATCATCACAGACTGTGGAAACTTAACACTGGACTTCAAGCAACTTGGGCTATGAGCTTCTCCACCCTTCCTCCAGACTCTAGGACCTTGGTTTCCAAATGAAATACAAAACTTGCTCTCATCTGAAAGGAGGACTTTGGACCACTGGGCAACAGTCCAGTTCTTCTTCTCCTTAGCCCAGGTAAGACGCCTCTGACGTTGTTTGTGGTTCAGGAGTGGCTTAACAAGAGGAATACGACAACTGTAGCCAAATTCCTTGACACGTCTGTGTGTGGTGGCTCTTGATGCCTTGACCCCAGCCTCAGTCCATTCCTTGTGAAGTTCACTCAAATTCTTGAATTGATTTTGCTTGACAATCCTCATAAGGCTGCTGTTCTCTCGGTTGGTTGTGCATCTTTTTCTTCCACACTTTTTCCTTCCACTTGTTAACATGTTAACATGCTTGGATACAGCACTCTGTGAACAGCCAGCTTCTTTGGCAATGAATGTTTGTGGTTTACCCTAGGATGTCAAGGTGTCAATGATTGTCTTCTGGACAACTGTCAGATCAGCAGTCTTCCCCATGATTGTGTAGCCTAGTGAACCAAACTGAGAGACCATTTTGAAGGCTCAGGAAACCTTTGCAGGTGTTTTGAGTTGATTAGCTGATTGGCATGTCACCATATTCTAATTTGTTGAGATAGTGAATTGGTGGGTTTTTGTTAAATGTGAGCCAAAATCATCACAATTAAAATAACCAAAGACTTAAACTACTTCAGTCTGTGTGCATTGAATTTATTAATACACGAGTTTCACAATTTGAGTTGAATTACTGAAATAAATGAACTTTTCCACGACATTCTAATTTATTGAGATGCACCTGTACATAAATATACGTGTGTGTGTATGACGGATCAATAGAATAAATATAAATGCAATTAAATGTACATTTATATAAGTGCTGTCAATTGATTAAAATATTTTTACAAATGAATCACTCTATTTAAAAAAATAAATAAAATGAATCGTGATTAATCCAACCTAACATTACAGTCTTTAAATATACTTTTATATTGCAATTTCTTCAAATTAATGTAATGTTTTTTTAATATTTATTTAATGGCATCTTTTTTATAACTGAAGGTGAGTATCACTTATACCAATACTACAGATGTCTCTATGAATTTTTTGCCCTAATATTTAACCATTGACTAGCCGTTCAACATTACAGTATAATTGAGAGCTATCAATTTTAACATTTATTAGACTAGAAATAACAACCTCTAATTTAAGTGAACTTAAAACAATCTTTACATAAACCCATTATAATAAATATCATATTTAGCTACCTGTGCCTTTCAGCATGTAGGAAATATATACAGAAATTGAATTAAGTTATCAAACTCTAAATTCTAAATTAAATATAGATTAACCCTTAAAGCTACAAAAGTCATTGATTTCCTCTTTTTTTCTTCTTTTGTTCTTTGATGAACAGACATCACAGCAGCTGGTTATTAGGTTATATTGGCTGCCGCTGCTGAACATGACGCGGATCGTATTTTCTCGCAACTCTTGACCTTTTCTGACCCTCTTCAGGTCTTAAAGTCTCTACTAATGAGCTGACGAGTTGAATCGGGTGTGTTAGATGCTGCTGCTCCAGGACAGTTTTGAAAAACTGCATTTCAGAGATATGTTCTTAAATCTGACTCACTTGCATTGCATGCAATCGCCTTTTTGGTAACTTCATGATTTAACTGACGACATCACTACGTCATTGCATGCTCATAGTTTCTTTTGCGCTTTAATATGAAATGATACAGGCTTCAGCACGAGCCGCCACATTTGTGTGTGCAATTGAAGAGCACGGTCTACGAGCACAGTATAAGAGCCGACAGGACAGGAAAATTTATTTTTCTGACATATGGCCTGACAACATCTCGTTCACTGTTGTTCTACTGAAGCTCCCTCATCACCTGTACCTTTTCTGCGCTCGTCTGATTAGCGCCGGGCACTGAGGCGAAGTTGGAGTGCATGTCTGAAAAGTCTCCCGTTTTATGTGGTCTCATAAAGACTCACAGAGTCCAGCGAAGCACGACAGAAGTTTACCAATGCTAAAGCAATCTCATCGGACATGTTCTTCGGCCGTGAGAGCAACCCAGAGGTACAGTGAGCCCACTAGAGCTTGAGTTCTGAGACTGACTGGCGGTTTTGACACTAATTTTTCACATCCTTTTTTTTTCTTTCATTTTATTTCTACATATAAATATTATTATTTTTTTTTTTTTTACACATTTTATCTGTAATTAAATATTATGAAGGATTTTAATGTTCATATTTATATAAAATGTATATTATAATATACATTTATGTGTATTTTGTTATTTAATTATAATAGTAATACATATACACAATTTCTATTTATAACATTTGAATATATATTTGTATTATATAAAATTATGTAATTTTACCTTTTTATACACGTTTTATATATGGTTTATTTATATATTATAAAATATTTTATAGTACATTACTGAAAATATTTTCATTGTTTTACAATTATTTGTAATCTACAGAATAAAATTTTTTTTTATTGTAAATTGTCATTTTTTTAATGATTATATAATATTTTTGTGAAAACCTTTTTTTTTTCAGGATTCTTAGATTAATAGAAGGTTCAAAAGTACAGCATTAATTTCAGAATTTATGAATGTCTTTATCACTTTTGATCAATTTAATTTGTCCTTGACGAATAAAATGTATTAAATCTTACCCCAAACATTTGAATGGTAGTGTAACATGGTTTCTACAAAAATGTCCACAAATTTGTAATAATTTAAATGTATACATTAATGTCATGTATTTTAACACACACACATATATATATATATATATATATTATTATTTTTAAATAATATCCATTTACAGTATTGTTTTATGGATATGGATATATATATTATTTTTTCTCCCTAGTATGAAGCAAAGACTCGTCTAGAAAGCATGACTGGAAGCACCTCCATCAGCTCTGCTGATCTGTTTGGTGATGACGGTGTCCGTTCCACTGGTAAACACTTCTGTTTTTAGCAATATTGTTTACTTCATGTTAATTAGATTATAAAATGGGCAAAAGCCTTTATATTTTTGTGCCGTATTATATAACGAGACTGTGGCGCCCATTCGGTTTCATTCATGTACATCGCTGTAGGCTCATCAGGATTTGACAGCGTGCTTCCCTCCGGTCCTGACATCGCCCAGTTCAAGCAAGGTGTGAAGACTGTTGCAGGGAAGATGGCAGTGCTGGCTAACGGAGTTATGAATACCATTCAGGTGAACGCACATATTTCAGTCTTCTCCCTCTCTCATATACACACACACACACACACACACACATATAACACTTCCACATCAGCTGTATTAACTCCATCTGATCGTGTGTGTGTGTTCAGGATCGCTATGGATCTTACTGAAAGGACTGCATTAAACTGAAACGGAAGTTCCATTAAACAGAACGCACCTCATTGCTGATTGGCTCTGGTCTGTCTTTACTACATGAACACACATCTGAGAGAGAGAGAGACAAAGACCCGGGAGCTCCCAATCTCTCCCCAGACCACTGTAGACACTCTTGCTGACAGTATTTTCATTTCTATTTGAAGACTCTTGATTTATTTTCAGATAACATGAGAAGCACTGGGAAGAGTGTAAAGTTTGTTTTCAGAATCGCAGTGCTCTCTGTTTGAACTAACAGTCCTGTTTTCTATGCCATGTACTGGTCTTTGATTTCAAATAAGTATGGATTTGAAAAGTATTTTGTCTGGAATTAAACGCATAACAACTTAAGAGTGCTAATATGTTCTTATGGCTTTCTTTTTTTTTTTTTTTTTTACAATTTAACGGTATCCGAAGACTTCAGTGCATTCAGTAAACAAAGAAAGTGAACCCCATATGGTATATTTATACATTTTGAATATTTTGAGCCCATTTCCTAAATGCAATCTATTAGATTTGATGCATTTTACTTTATTAGTTATGACGACAAAGTTTAAGTGATGAAAATAACAGTAATTTTGTGCAATATGTCCTGGCATGTCAAGGACGAATTCTTGAGGCTTTTTGTGGATGCGGATGTGTGAGTGATTCCTGGGAGTTTGAGTTGTCAGGACCGATGATTTTAAACTGAACCATGTTTGGTTTTGCATGCCAGCATAAAGCTGAAGACACTGGCGCTGTATCTGATTTCAGAGAAAATGCTCAAGAAAGCAAGCGGACTGAGGAGGTTTACACCGACGACAATTTAATAAGACGCCCTCGGTTTAGATGAAAGAATGACAGCTGAGAAAATTGTTTATTTAAAATTCACCCACTGTCGTCTGTTTTCTGGTAATGTGCATGTGCAGTTCTGTTTTCTATTACATGCATTACAGATTTTCTTTCCTTTTCTTTTGGGTTAATGCCAGACCGGGAGCTGGTGAATGGTATTTGTCTGCCTGTCCGTTTGTATCCCAGTGCTAAATTTGAAAATAAAGAACAACAATCTAACTGCCGTCTGAATTAAAAGCTATTTATTGTAGCCTGTTGAGAAGAATCTATTGAGATTTGTGAGAATAAAGATTGAAATCCCCCACAACAGCTGTTTAAGACTTTGATTCAATAAACCCAACAAACATTTTATGACAAAGATTACAGATAAAATGCAAAATAAACAAGAGTGGTAATGGAATAATTAATGCACACTATATTAGTTTACCCTTTAACCCTAATAAAAATGAAATCAGTAAAGGATTGGCCTGGCTGACGTTAACTTTTTTCCACCCTTTTCAAATTTCAAATCACATCAAAAAAGCATTTCTTTTCATTGAAAATGAAGGAAATAATCAAAAAGTTGAAAAAAGTATCGGGTAGGTGTAGGGAGGGCTTTATTGTCCCAATAAGGTGGCATCCAATTAATAATTAGAATTTACACTCAATAAGTTATTACTGCATACTGTTTTATAATGTACTACAATACTGAGGTGCAGATAATTTCCACTATTTGCAATAAGTAGTATAAATAGCAGAAAATCCTGCTATTTTAACTGTAAATAGAATCTATTGCTATTTGCACTTAGTGCAAATAGCCGCTGCCTTATTTGTTCACCTCTCAATCAAATAAAACTATCAATAAATAAAAACTAGTGTTGATCATAAAACCAAGCATTTAAAGATAATTTTACTAAGACATTATTTTTTATTAGCTGCATCAGATTGCATATTTTTGCTCAGTTTGAGCCTCTGAATAAAACTATGTATGAGCTAAATATTTTCATGTATCATGTTTCATGTATTCATAAAAAAAAAAAAACATTTGCAAAATTCAAATGCACATTCAGACTCGCTGAGTAAATTCAATTCCCTTCTCAGCTAGTAGAAGTTCAATTTAATGCAGAAGTTGCTCGTTCACAGCTCAGGTGGAAAGACGATACAACAGAAGAATGATCGACGAGTGATAGAATGAAAGCATGAGACGGAGCAAAAGAATGACAGGACAAAAAAATGATGGATAGAACAACAGAATGAATGACAGATAGGATGAAGGAATGATAGAATAAAATAATAATAGAATGATAGAATAAAAGAATGATAGAGAGAAAAGCAGAACGATAGATAGAATGATAGAACGATAGATTGAATGAGAGAACAACAGATAGATAGATAGATAGATAGATAGATAGATAGATAGATAGATAGATAGATAGATAGATAGATAGATAGATAGATGTTTTTGTTCATACAATTAAAGTCAAAGGGGCTCAAAACAATATTGAACTGCACTGACTTTCATTATATGGACAAAAAAAACATAGGCATTTTGGTGAACAATCTCTTTATCCCCTTTTAGTTTGTCTCAGATGTTTGTCCCAAAATAAAGAAGACATTTTGATATGGAACTTTATAGACTTTCCTCATTAGAAAGAGCTGAGTCTCTGTTTGAGCTCGATTTAATCTCATTGCTGTCTAGGAGAAACTATTGAGACCAGGGCCACCCTTAGGGGGGTGCAACTGGTGCGGTCGCACCGGGCCCTGCGCTTGAGGGGGCCCCGCGGCGAATGGACCCCCCCTCCGGGACCCGGTCGCGAATGGACCGAGGGGGGCCCCACTCCCTACCTCACACCGGGCCCCACGTCAGCTAAGGACGGCCCTGATTGAGACACTAAAGAGATCTCTGTGGTTTTCCTATGTTCCTGTAGGTGCAAACAACTGTGCAAAATACATTCCAACCTCTGCAAAGTCTTATCAAATATGTGACCCAGGACCACAAAAGCAGTCTTAAGTCGCTGGGGTATATTTGTAGCAATAGCCAAAAAAACATTGTATGGGTCAAAATTATCGATTTTTCTTTTATGCCAAAAATCATTAGTACATAAAGTAAAGATCATGTTCCATGAAGATATTTTGTAAATTTCCTATTGTAAATATATCAAAACTTAATTTTTGATTAGTAATATGCATTGCTAAGAACTTCATTTGGACAACTTTAAAGGCGATTTTCTCAGTGTTTAGATTTTTTTGCATCCTCAGATTCCACATTTTCAAATAGTTGTATCTCTGCCAAATATTGTCCGATCCTAATAAACCATACATCAATGAAAAGCTTATTTATTTATTTATTTAAAAAAATTGATACTTGAGACTGGTTTTGTGGTCCAGGGTCACATACAGTATATCAGTGCTGTATAATCACACAATAAAGCTCGGATGAAAATGCAGTGGATGGATCGATACAACCAGTGATGTGGCTCAGTTGATCCAGGCGTACGAGTAGAAGCTGTTCTCCTCCCACAGGTCACACCTCTCGCGGGAGTAGCTTGTTACAAAAGAAATGTTCTTGTCCAGCAGGGCGACACATGAGGGGAACTCCGGCCACTCCTCTGGCATCCTACCTGTGAGGTTACGAAGAGTTTTGGAAAGTTATGGGCAAGATTTAATCCCACTGATCACATACAATTTCAACCAGCTTAGGTTACACTTTTGCCAATATAAAAAATCACGTTCATGACGTCATCCGCCGTGACGTACCGCTCAGCTATTGGACTGATTTCACATGTGATTCAGAGCGTGGGTCACTGAAGGCGTTCCCCTAGTGTTCTCGACGCAGCTCGAGTTCCTGAAGAGGAACGAAGTGTTTGAGAGAGGCGGGGGATAGAGGAGCTACAATAATGTACAGTATTTGAAAAATAATGTGTTTTTTGAACATTAAAGCATGTCAACATATTCTGTTACACCAAATACACAAAATAATGATCTTTAAAATAGCATCATATAACCCCTTTAGGCTTCAAACCAAACCAAGTCTAATGAACTGTAATGTTATTATAGTGCTATTAGATTGTATTTTTATATTTTTTGTTTTCACTTTAATTTTAGTTAATGTTTTGGTAATTATGTTGATTGTTTTGTCCTTTTTATTATTATCATTTTTTTTTTTAAATATGTCTATATATTGTTTTATTTATTATTTATTTTTGTATTATTATGGTAGCTTAACTGAAATATTGCCTTGGTAACTAGCTGAAATAAATGTTATTTTATATTTATTTTAATTTTATTTCAAGTAATGAAAATAATTTTTTATGGTTTTAGTTTTAGTTCATATTAACTTTGGTGACGAATAACAGCAACATTTGAATCAAAGCATAAAACAAAACAAAAAATCTGAAAAAACGTCCTGCTCTTCCCCTTCCTCTGTCAACCTCTTGGGCTGTTAGAAGAGTTGGCTGATGACTGATTTGGATATCAGACAAAATACAGTGTTAACTGGTTGATCAAATATCAGAAAAAAAGCTGCTGACTAGTTATGGATATCAAACGAAATCTTCTGGTGGGATCTGGCAGTGGCATCCTGATGTGTTGGTAGGATCTAACAGAAATGAACTAGTCATCCCATGATGAATGAATCAGAAACAACAGTATTATATCAAACATTTAACTACAAATCATTATATGAAAAGTCTAATAAGCATATTGTCTTTTTCCCCCCGCAGATTGTGGCTTAACAGAAGGGTTTCATTAAATACTTCAGAGCTCATGGGAGGGTTTTCTTAAAATATTTATATTATATCAATAACAAAAATGTTCTTTAATGAGAAAGAATATAGAATTTGCTCATTACAGAACCCTGCTATTTCCTTGTTCAATTTTTTTTCAATGATGAAAAGAATGTTGCATAATAGATGCACAACTACTCCAGTTTGGGGTCAGTAAAAAAAAAGTATCTTATGTTCACCATAGGTACATTTATTTGATCAAAAATACAGTAAATACAATAATACTGTTAAATATTATTACATTTTAAGTTTTTAAAATTGTAATATATTGTAAAATGTTATGTTAAAGCTGTATTTTCAGCATCATTACTCCAGCCTTCAGTGTCACATGATCTTCAGAAATCATTCTGATATGCTGATTTGCTGCTCAAGAAACATTTCTGATTATTTTCAATGTTGAAAACAGTTGTGCTGCTTCATATGTTTTTGAAATATTATTATTTTGTAATATTATAAATGTTTGTATATTGACACATTTGATCAATATAACGCATGCTTGTTGTATAAAGGGTTTTAGTTTTCTTTCAGCAACTACATAAAAGTCTCACTGACCCCAAACTTTTGAACAGGAGCAAATGTACTCAAAACATTAAACCTCAAGAAACAGGGTCAAGCATTTGATATAGATTTCAAATGTTTTATTATTAGTATGGGAAATCTCACATTAAACTTACCCTCTTTGGCAAAATGTACAAAATACTTGGTGATCATTTCCTGGAAGCTGATATCAGCCAGTGACAGGGTCCCCAGCACCATTTCAAGACCCCCGAAGAAGGCCAGGCTGTCTAGAAGATGAAAGGCAAAGCGACTGGGGAAGGGAAGCCAGCTGGAGGCGTTTGCCTGTTTTGATGGAGTGTAAGTCACCAGATAGCGGTACACTGGACTCTTTAAGGCTCCTGAAATACATGATTTAGATTTAAACAACTGACTATGGATCACAAATCAGCATAATGTACAGTCAATAGCAAAAATGTGTGATAATGACTAGCTCACTGTTCATTATCCTGCTTGACCATGAAATATTAATTGGAGCTCACAAATGCTCAAATATTCAGAGTGCTGATGAAGCTCAATTCCTTTTAAAGGGGTCATATGATGCGACTTCAATTTTTCCTTTCTCTTTGGAGTGTTACAAGCTCTTGGTGCATAACGAGGATCTGTAACGTTGCAAAGACTAAAGTCTCAAATCCAAAGAGATATTCTTTATAAAAGTTAAGAGTCAGCCACACCTACCTAAAACGGCTCGTTCTAACACCCACCCACATGTCTACGTCACGATGTGGGAAGATTTGCATAATGCCGCCCAAACTTTTATTCTCGCTGTAGTATTGTTGTTGCCGCCGCCATGTCTTGAAGGCGCTGTGTGCTTCGTTGTGAAAGCGAAACTACTTTGTTTGGCCTTCCAAAAGAGGACGATATCTCTTCACTGAAAAAACGTCCTGCTCTTCCCCTTCCTCTGTCAACCTCTTGGGCTGTTAGAAGAGTTGGCTGATGACTGATTTGGATATCAGACAAAATACAGTGTTAACTGGTTGATCAAATATCAGAAAAAAAGCTGCTGACTAGTTATGGATATCAAACGAAATCTTCTGGTGGGATCTGGCAGTGGCATCCTGATGTGTTGGTAGGATCTAACAGAAATGAACTAGTCATCCCATGATGAATGAATCAGAAACAACAGTATTATATCAAACATTTAACTACAAATCATTATATGAAAAGTCTAATAAGCATATTGTCTTTTTCCCCCCGCAGATTGTGGCTTAACAGAAGGGTTTCATTAAATACTTCAGAGCTCATGGGAGGGTTTTCTTAAAATATTTATATTATATCAATAACAAAAATGTTCTTTAATGAGAAAGAATATAGAATTTGCTCATTACAGAACCCTGCTATTTCCTTGTTCAATTTTTTTTCAATGATGAAAAGAATGTTGCATAATAGATGCACAACTACTCCAGTTTGGGGTCAGTAAAAAAAAAGTATCTTATGTTCACCATAGGTACATTTATTTGATCAAAAATACAGTAAATACAATAATACTGTTAAATATTATTACATTTTAAGTTTTTAAAATTGTAATATATTGTAAAATGTGATGTTAAAGCTGTATTTTCAGCATCATTACTCCAGTCTTCAGTGTCACATGATCTTCAGAAATCATTCTGATATGCTGATTTGCTGCTCAAGAAACATTTCTGATTATTTTCAATGTTGAAAACAGTTGTGCTGCTTCATATGTTTTTGAAATATTATTATTTTGTAATATTATAAATGTTTGTATATTGACACATTTGATCAATATAACGCATGCTTGTTGTATAAAGGGTTTTAGTTTTCTTTCAGCAACTACATAAAAGTCTCACTGACCCCAAACTTTTGAACAGGAGCAAATGTACTCAAAACATTAAACCTCAAGAAACAGGGTCAAGCATTTGATATAGATTTCAAATGTTTTATTATTAGTATGGGAAATCTCACATTAAACTTACCCTCTTTGGCAAAATGTACAAAATACTTGGTGATCATTTCCTGGAAGCTGATATCAGCCAGTGACAGGGTCCCCAGCACCATTTCAAGACCCCCGAAGAAGGCCAGGCTGTCTAGAAGATGAAAGGCAAAGCGACTGGGGAAGGGAAGCCAGCTGGAGGCGTTTGCCTGTTTTGATGGAGTGTAAGTCACCAGATAGCGGTACACTGGACTCTTTAAGGCTCCTGAAATACATGATTTAGATTTAAACAACTAACTATGGATCACAAATCAGCATAATGTACAGTCAATAGCAAAAATGTGTGATAATGACTAGCTCACTGTTCATTATCCTGCTTGACCATGAAATATTTATTGGAGCTCACAAATGCTCAAATATTCAGAGTGCTGATGAAGCTCAATTCCTTTTAAAGGGGTCATATGATGCGACTTCAATTTTTCCTTTCTCTTTGGAGTGTTACAAGCTCTTGGTGCATAACGAGGATCTGTAACGTTGCAAAGACTAAAGTCTCAAATCCAAAGAGATATTCTTTATAAAAGTTAAGAGTCAGCCACACCTACCTAAAACGGCTCGTTCTAACACCCACCCACATGTCTACGTCACGATGTGGGAAGATTTGCATAATGCCGCCCAAACTTTTATTCTCGCTGTAGTATTGTTGTTGCCGCCGCCATGTCTTGAAGGCGCTGTGTGCTTCGTTGTGAAAGCGAAACTACTTTGTTTGGCCTTCCAAAAGAGGACGATATCTCTTCATCATGCCTGGAGCTGATCCGTGTTGGTCGCTGAGGGAATACATCAACTTAGTGCTGTGGATCGCCGGATCGGCTTTCACCGTGGACGAAGCGGAGTCCAGCCCGGGGTCGTCACATGTGGTTGCCGCATGCATCACAGTATGGTAAGGGACGTAACATTTTCTGTCACACGCTTGAGGTATTCAGCCAATCACAACGCACCGGATAGCTGGCCAATCAGAGCACATCTCTTTGGAGTGTTACAAGCTCTTGGTGCATAACGAGGATCTGTAACGTTGCAAAGACTAAAGTCTCAAATCCAAAGAGATATTCTTTATAAAAGTTAAGAGTCAGCCACACCTACCTAAAACGGCTCGTTCTAACACCCACCCACATGTCTACGTCACGATGTGGGAAGATTTGCATAATGCCGCCCAAACTTTTATTCTCGCTGTAGTATTGTTGTTGCCGCCGCCATGTCTTGAAGGCGCTGTGTGCTTCGTTGTGAAAGCGAAACTACTTTGTTTGGCCTTCCAAAAGAGGACGATATCTCTTCATCATGCCTGGAGCTGATCCGTGTTGGTCGCTGAGGGAATACATCAACTTAGTGCTGTGGATCGCCGGATCGGCTTTCACCGTGGACGAAGCGGAGTCCAGCCCGGGGTCGTCACATGTGGTTGCCGCATGCATCACAGTATGGTAAGGGACGTAACATTTTCTGTCACACGCTTGAGGTATTCAGCCAATCACAACGCACCGGATAGCTGGCCAATCAGAGCACACCTCGCTTTTTCAGACCGATGAGTTTTGTAGAAAATGAACGCGTTTCAGAAAGGCGGGGCATAAAGGAGAAACAATAATGTAGAGTATGTGTAAAATAATGTGTTTTTTGAACCTTAAACCGCATAAACACATTTACACCAAATACACCAAATAATGTTATTTTTAGCAGCATCATATGACCCCTTTAATTGTGAACTGTCAATGAAAAATTAATTTGAACCTGCAGCTCTCTTAGCCAGATCGTTCCTGGGGCAGGTGGCCCTCATGTCAGAGACCATGGTGGTGAAGAGTCTCTCTGGGCATCGGTCAGAGGTTGGACACGGAGCCGCGCTATTGTACAGCCTCAGCGCCTGATTGGTCAGGGCCTCTCCGAAAGGGGTCAGTTTGTCTGAGTGAACGATCAACAGAGATGTGGTGAGGAAAAACATGTAGACTTTAGTGCTGTTAATCGAAAAAAAATAATAATAATAATTTCATCGCGATTAATCCCACCTGACATTAGAGTTTTTTTTATATACTTTTATATTGCAATCATTTCACATTCAATCAAATGAATGTAAAAACAACATAAAGACAGCGTTTTTAATATTTGTTTAATGGCATCTTTTTTATAACTGAAGGTGAGTATCACTTATACCAATACTGCTGATGTCTCAATGAAAATTTTTTTCCTAATATTTAACCATTGACTAGCCATTCAACATTACAGTATAATTGAGAGCTATCAATTTTAACATTTATTAGACTTAAAAAATAACAACCTCTAATTTAAGTGAACTTAAAACAATCTTTACATAAACCCATTATAATAAATATCATATTTAGCTACCTGTGCCCTTCAGCAAGTAGGAAATATAACACCAAATTCTAAATTAAATATAGATTAACCCTTAAAGCTACAAAAGTCATTGATTTCCTCTTTTTTTCTTCTTTTGTTCTTTGATGAACAGACATCACAGCAGCTGGTTATTAGGTTATATTGGCTGCCGCTGCTGAACATGACGCGGATCGTATTTTCTCGCAACTCTTGACCTTTTCTGACCCTCTTCAGGTCTTAAAGTCTCTACTAATGAGCTGACGAGTTGAATCGGGTGTGTTAGATGCTGCTGCTCCAGGACAGTTTTGAAAAACTGCATTTCAGAGATATGTTCTTAAATCTGACTCACTTGCATTGCATGCAATCGCCTTTTTGGTAACTTCATGATTTAACTGACGACATCACTACGTCATTGCATGCTCATAGTTTCTTTTGCGCTTTAATATGAAATGATACAGGCTTCAGCACGAGCCGCCACATTTGTGTGTGCAATTGAAGAGCATGGTCTACGAGCACAGTATAAGAGCCGACAGGACAGGAAAATTTATTTTTCTGACATATGGCCTGACAACATCTCATCTGACCGCAGTTCACTGTTGTTCTACTGAAGCTCCCTCATCACCTGTACCTTTTCTGCGCTCGTTTGACTAGCATCTGTTATGAGTGACTTACTTGTCACAATCCACCGATAGTCTCCCCAAGTCCATGCTGAGATGTTTTCATATGGAGGACTAAAGTGAAAAGACAAAATCAGAATGTAATGAATTGGCTTCCTAATATTAATTTGAATTGAATTGGCCGAAATTCACAGGAAGTTGAAATCTGAATTTAAATAGGAAAGACAGGAAGAGGAATTAACTGAATTGCTTTGGAGGAATTTCATTAGCCCAATACAAATTTTGTGACAAAACATTAAAAATGACAACATTATATGAAATGATTAATTATACATATGTTGATTAATTATGCTTATTTATTCTCTGTAGAATAATAGATGCAGTGTCTCAATGTATTAATGAAATATTAATTATTATGATTATAATAATACTTATTATATGAATAATTATATCAAATAATATAATAATTGTATATTTGGTAAATATTTTAATATTTTATATTAATTGTATATATATATATTTAATTTATTTATGCAGCATATTAATATATTAATGAAATATAATTTATTATATGATTATAATACATATTTTATATATATATATATATATATATATATATATATTCAGTATGTTAACATTAAACAATTATAATTATATAATACATTTCAAACAATGGTTATAAATATATAATGTTTCTAGAAATAATCCAAGTTTTATCTGATAACATTTAAAAGAGAGTATATTTCTTTGAATTTCATTTGTTAAATTCAAATCCAAATTATAACTCTGCATCCAGCTTGCTAAATCGATTCAAATTCCTGAACTTTAAAGACATTCTCAATTTTGAATGGTGCACAATCCTGACAGTTTTTTTTTTCATTTTAAAACTGATCATTGAAAATCAAACAAAGCTGGTTACCTAAAATCAGTCTCCTGTTCAGTTGTTCCAACCACAAATGGGACGTCATTATAGGCTCCGGCTCCACCCTTCTCCCAGGTTTCGAACGGAGGAGCTTTGAGAACATAGTTGTCAACTACTGCAACCGGGCCAAGAAAAACACCTTTGACTGGAATATCGGTTAATTCATCGGCTGCCCATGCTGGGTACTGCTGCCACGGGATTGCCTGAGTCAGATACAAATCACTAACATTAATTCAACCACAGACCCATTTCTGATATATTACTACCATTTAGAGAAATTAAACCTCATCGGCAGATTTTCATTGGGAATTCATGAGCGTTCGCTGAGATCTGGCAGGCGGTCGAGGTTTGATGATTTATCAAAGAGAGTTTACGGACGAAGGGGCCAATAGGTTGAGGCTGTTGTTAGTCAGCCATGACTCTGCTGCTGCCTTGCTCTGGAAGGTTACAAACTCTGCCATAAATTTCTCACCTGAAGGACTTGAGCGATATGTAGTCCTCTCAGGCAGATGGCGTTCTTGCAGCCAGTTCTCCTCAGGAATTCTAAGTTGTCTTTTTCTGCTGACTCCAGGGAAGCATTATACACATACGAGCCGCTCATGTCAATCGCGCGATGAAAGAGTCCCTTGGCTAGTGGAGACATCATCAAGGCCCAAACCGAAGTTCCCCCTTATGATCACACAAGGAGAGAAAAACTTAATATACATTAATAAGGCTCACGTTTGTGAAAAATAAGTGTGCTTAATTATATTGAATGTGCACTTGTAGTACATCCAGATAATATATTATGATATTAATGAAATAAAGTAAACCTAAATTAATGAAACCTAAAGCCTTGTTCAGACTGTCAGCCCAAATCTGATTATTTGTGTATCCGACTGGAATCTGATCTAAATGTTTCACTGTCTGCACTGTGTATCACAACTGTTCAGATTCGATTTGTGTGTCCCGTGGCGCTCTTTCGTTTTACTCAATATCTGCATTGGTTTCTTTGGCAATGACATTGCGTTGGTATGTACATTCTTTTTACTATATATAGAGAGGCCCAAATGTATGAAACCACATTGAGATTGTTTTCCATTAAACATGGAAATAAGCACAAAGGATTTAGAAAAAATTCTGTGAGAATGATGTGAAAAATAAAATTATGAGATTATGAACTAATCAAGATCACTAATAAAATATGTACATTTGCAACATTAATTATGTGAACTCATTTGTAAAGATGGTCCAATTCAATTTAAATTGTTATCCCGATAATATAATTTGTAATAAAACATAAATTAGAGGGGGGGGGAAGCATTTTTTTTCACTAATGTTCAGGGTTATTATAGTTAAACGAAACTTTAACGGAAATAAATTAAATATAATAAAACATGAACTTATTTTATTTCAGCTAGTTGCTAGCTGACATTGCAGTTCTTTATTTCAGTTTTTGCAAGAAGTCTCTTGATCAAGGCTGAATTTATTAGATCAAAACCACAATAATAAAATAAATATTTAGAAATTTTTCAATTGAAAATAACTTTTTTCTATTTTAATAAATTGGAATGATTTATAAAGGATCTTGTGACATTCAAAACTTCTGCTGAAAATTAAACTTTTTTAAAATAAAATAAAAACAGCTTTGGTGTGTATAATGGATTTATTTCAAAAACATTAAAAAATATATTATTATTTAAAAATCTTAACTTTTGACTGGTATGGTACTTACTATATTAATAACAGCAAATTTCATAATTATAAGAAAAACCCAAACCCCATAGTAAGTACAAGTTGTTCATTAATAATGCTCAGTACTTATTTTTGTAATTAAACTGTTACAAGGACACCTTAAAATAAAATGTAACTGCATTTTCTTCATGGCTAGAAAGTGATCTTGGGGAGGAAAATCATGCAAACATTTTCTGTGAAGACTGTATTTATAATGCATTCTAAAGATAATCATAATGCTTTATAATACACATTGCAATCTATATATTGTGCAATGCATACACAATGCAATTCATATATTTTCATAATTAACTGTAATTGTCTTATAACGTACAAAGGTTAATGTACAGAATACATAAGTTGTGTATGATGACAATAATCTTATATTCATGATTGCACCTGTAGAGCGTGAGTCTGTAATGTATCCTAACACACACAATAACTCTTTGCTGTAGTTAATACCTCAGTCCGAGAAGACCTTTCGTTGTATTTTTCTTGCAAAGACTGTTTTCTTTAATAAATCTTCACTTCCTGGGAAACTGCCTCAAGTGTTTGGGCCGACCATTACCACTCCCGTGGAGTAGTGGTAGATCTCTCAAACTACCACGCCAGAGACCTGAGTTCAAGCCCAACTCGTGACAGAAAAACCAAGTCACTCATTCGCCTGGACAATCGCCGCAAGGCGTCTCAGTTCCAAGTTCCTGTGAGCAGGGCTGTGTCCCCAGTTCGTATTCCTGCATCCAGAGCCTCCTCGGCTCCTGAACAGCCCCATGATTCCCCGGAGGACATGCTATTGGGTCACTCCAGGCTCTCTCCCAATGAGAGGGAACGTCGCATGAGGGAGTGATGTTGCCTTTACTGCGGTGCTTCCGGCCACTTTCACTCTACTTGTTCTGAGCTCTTGGGAAATGGTTATCCCCACCCAGCTACAGGAGGGCTGTGATGGGGAAAATTAGAGCTCCTCCTACTAATGCCGTCCTAGTGGTTCCAGCCACTTTGTCCTGGGAGGGCCACCAGCATCATGGTCCAGGCCATGATTGATTCCGGCGCTGCAGGCGACTTTCTGGATCTATCCGCCACTCAGTCCCTGTGACTTACCATCCATCAACACCAGCAGGAGGAGACCTTCTATCTGATTGACTACCCCGAGTATCCTGTTATCCTGGGCCACCCCTGGCTGCACAGACATAAACCCTGGATTGACTGGTCCGCTGGCACTCTTATGAGCTGGGGTTCCACTTGCCACCTCACCTGCCTGAGTCCCTCAGTTCCGAGTTTCAAGAGTCGGTCGACCTGTCTCGAGTACCCAGTTCCTATCATCAGTTCAAGGCAGTGTTCTGCAAGTTCCGGGCCACCTCCTCACCGCCCCTACGACTGTGCCATTGAGCTGCTCCTGACTCCCGGAGGGTCCAGAACTCACTGCAGTATCTGGTGGACTGGGAGGGCTACGGGCCGGAGGAGTGCTCCTGGGTTCCAGCCAAAGACATCCTGGACCTAAGTTTGATCCGGGAGTTTCGCACCCGGAGGTCGGGGTGTTCTGGAAGGAACGTCAGGAGCCGTTCCTAGAGGAGGGGGTCCTGTCAGCATCCTACCTCCTGTAGTTTGTCTCCGTGTCCCTAGAGGTCCCTGATTTTTTTTCCTCTGCCTTAGTTCTTCCTTGTGTGGCCTTGTTAGCGTTATCCAAGTCACCTGCACCTTGTTTTCCCCAGTGTATTTAAGTGGTGTATTTTTCCCCTGGTTCCTCACTCGGTTTTTGAGTCTTCGCCCTGTGTCTCCTGCCTGGTCTCGCTAAAGCCTCTCTAGCTACCCCAAGTAAGGTTTCCTGAGTTTCTTTCTTTAGTTAGAATTGTTCTCTGGTTTTGTTTTCTCCCCTCGTGGAGTTTTGTTTTCTCATGTGGTTTTTCCATTATTTTTGCTGTAGTTAATATCTCAGTCCGAGAAGACCTTTCGTTGTATTTTTCTTGCAAAGACTGTTTTCTTTAATAAATCTTCACTTCCTGGGAAACTGCCTCAAGTGTTTCGTTTGGGCCCACCATTACCACTCCCGTGGAGTAGTGGAAGATCTCTCAAACTACCACGCCAGAAACCCGAGTTCAAGCCCAACTCGTGACACAGATAGATGATAGATGATAGACAGATAGATATAGATAGACAGATCAATAGACAGACATATAGACGATAGACAGACAGACCGATAGATAATAGACAGACATATAGGTGATAGACAGATATATAGACAGACAGATAGATAGATGATACACAGATAGATGATAGACGATAGAAAGACAGACAGATAGATAGATGATAGACTGATATTCATTGTATATATTTTTGCCTTCAACCCCCAAATGCCCTGAATGTTATAGCCTGATTTGAAGGATTGAACTATGCGATCTACTGTATTATAGATTTCTGATATTTTTGTTCTGACCCATTCAGCAACGCATCTATAATACACACCGGACAAAGCCTATGTGTTTCTTTACATGTATTCATTTGTGTCAATAAAATAATTAAAAAAACATGACAAAAGCAAATGCATTTGATCAGGAAATCAATTCTAGGCGTGATTAACGAACTCTATAAAGGTTTAATTGTTTTAAAATTGATTTAGGTATTGATCCCCTCCCAACATGGGAGGTCATTTGCTAGTGGTGAAAAGGCTTTTGAATTTATTAAACTAATTGCATTATGTCGTGGTTAGACCGATTACATGACTGTTATGTGAAATTTTACAAAACCACTGGTGGATCCCACAATATGTGAACTCGGCCTGAAATGAAAAGAGCAAAAGTGATAGATGGATTGCCATGGGGAGCTAGAGAATATCTAGGGGCACAATTCAAGAGAGACATATTTTAACCCCACAGGGATGTATAACGGATAGCTTGGCTATTCCTAACTCTGAGGTCCATGAGGACTTTTTTTTTGCCTTCCTTAAGGAAGCAGTTTATCATCTTCAGCCTTGCTGATACTGTTGTTCAGGTTTTTTTTCATGAGCATATACACTACAGCACAGAGAGGGGGTTGCTGGGACTCTGAATCTGGAGGACATACATCACAGTTATGTTTAATTCAAACATTAATTTGAAAAGCTGAACAAAAACATTGTGAGATCAGACCTCGAGTTATGGCTCATGTGTGTACGAGCAGCATTATAAATGCTGCTCTCTGATGGAAAACACTTGAGGCATGAGGACTCTTATTATTTAAAGATTTATTGAATGCATAGAATTATATACAAAACCAATTATCCAATTTCACACTTTCAGCATTTCAAAACAGTCATGTTTTTTTTCTCACATCAGCATTTTCATTTTTGCTTCAGGTCTTTCAATCAAATTAACGATGGGTTTTAAAACAGAGACTCAAATGAGTTTATTTCACACAGTGAAAAAACGCGCTCATAATGCTGCAATTAAAAGCATCACATTCAGCTTCATCTCATCTATGGCACAAAACTTCACAAAACAAGAAACATCTGTCTAATTGACTTCATTTCAGCCAGTCAATTATTGTGTTCAATAAAACTATCCTCCTTGGAAATAAACATCTAAATTAAAAGGAAGGCATTCGTGCTGAGGAATAGATTATGGTATAGGAGAGCTTGTGGGTGAGAGTTTATAAGTGCAAAAAAAAAAGTGTAAGAAAAAGGCTCAGATGCATAAAATTGTGAAAGCTAAAAGATAAACAAAACAGCATTCAGAAAATCATTATCCAGATATATATTCTCATACGCCAGCAGTGTACCTGTAACTACCTGACTGCAAAACTCCTCAATAAATGTGGTAATGTTCTGGCACAGGTGTGATTTGAGTCCTTGTGTGTCGCTGTCGCATCCTCTAAATGGCTTCCTCTCATTCTACTAACATTTTGGCGGCGCTGACCTGTGAAAGATTCACTTTGACGTCAGCCCCAGTTATAAAAGTAGATCTTCTGCCAAATGGGCAAGTACTCCATCAGCGGACCTGAGAGTACAGGAAAAATCCAGTCAGGACGTATCTCAGAGCTTTTTTAAAGCTTTTAGTGTGACAGCATTGAACATCTGTTGTGTGAGATGGATACGGCACTTACGCGCAACCAAACCGACTCCGGGAACATAATCTGCCAAGAAGTGAAGAAGGAAGAGGATCTTTGTCCTGCGAGTATAAAAGAGACATTAGATATGGGAACAAAAAGCACCATTATGCAGTAAAAGTGTGCATTGTTAAATCTAAATAGATATTTTGTAAAACTAAATTTGTATATTTTCTGGAAAAAATATAGTGTAGCTGTGCGATGCCAGGAGTTGGTAAAGTGTTCTGATTGGTTGCTATGCCTATATTGGATTTTATTTGACTAATTTTATTGTAAATTTTAACTCTGACAAGTTGAGATTGTTTCTGTGTTGGAACAGATTTGGAGAAATTTAGCATTGCATCACTTGCTCACCAATGGATCCTCTGCAGTGAATGGGTGCCGTCAGAATGAGAGTACAAACAGCTGATAAAAACATCACAATAATTCACAAATAATCCACACCACTCCAGTCCACCAATTAACGCCTTGTGAAGAGAAAAGCTGTGTTTGTGTAATAAAAACATTTAAAAACAGAATAAGGCATTTTAACTTTAAACAGTCGCTTCTGCCAAAAAATACCAGTCAGTAATCCATAATAGCGCTTTCTCCAATGAAAAGGTCCATTCCATGTTGTCCTCTCACATCAAAATCCAACAACATATTTGTTTAGAACTGCTCTGGACTGTTTTCACTTGTAAACACTGCTTGATCTGTGTGTATTTCTCTCCTGATTCAGACTAGATATCTTTTTCACTGGAGAGAGCAAATATTATAACTCACATTTTGCCCAGAAACAATGGTTTAAAGATCTTACTGACATGCAACTTTTTAAGTTCACAAGTCATTAATCGATGGACTCATGTGGATTAGTGTGATGATTTATCAGCTGTTTGGACTCTCATTCTGACGGCACCCATTCACTGCAGAGGATCCATTGGTGAGCAAGTGATTTTCCAAATCTCTTCTGATGAAGAAACAAACTCATCTACATCTTAGATGGCCTGAGAGTGATTAAATCTTTAGCAAATTTTCAGTTTTGGGTGAATTATTTTAAATGCAAGGATTTGAACAAAACAATACCAGAAGTGCATCACATGAGAAGACTACACTAATGCAACAGATGCAATGAAGGAGACACTGACTCAGAGTATCGGTCATAGAAGGGGGAGCGGAGCAGGTAGTAGAGGAGAAGGAAGGCCCGTCTCCTCATCTCAGCCCTCTCTCTGTGGTTCAGCATCTTGAAGTCACTCAACAAACCAAAACTGTACAGAAAACAGCATAAGATTGAACTTCTTTAAATCTTCAGAGACAGACTGAGGACTGAGAGAGAGAAAGAGAGATGCAAAGCACTCTGTACCTGGTTATCTCTAAGAGACCAGAGATGATCCAAGGTTTCCAGGAACGTTTTCCACAAATCCCAAGACTGGCCACTTACAAATATTAAGGGTGATGGATGACAAAAAAATGTTCAAATAACTTAATCACCATTGCAAAAAAAAATATATATATATTTTTCCAGGTCAATCTTTTTCCTACATAAATTCACTGGTTAAAAAGAGTGGGAACCTTGAAAAACATTCAACTCTTAAAACTTCTGGAATCCTGAAATTTATTTACATAAAACTAAAAGTGTCGCCCTTCAAACATTGTTTTGGACAATAGGAGATAAAACGGTTAAGAATCACTGCACTAGAACATTATTGTTTTTTTTTTTTTTTAATAATCATTGCATTTCATTTTATTTTAAGAGTTTGTTTGACCCTGTTGTGAAGAACAAGATGTGCAGTCGGTCACATAAGATGACACGTCAAAACCAAGCATCAGCAGTGGACCGAACATGCAAGTATGTAAACTTATTAGGAATGTAACGATTCACTTAACTCATAATGCGATATGATTCATGATACTGATTTCACGATACGATTTTCTCACGATTTCTTGAACAAAATGACTTTTAAGAAATTATAAATGAAAAAGGTGTCCTTTTATTATTTCTCAGACAAAATGCTGCACATTTCTTTGCGAACTTGAAATGTCAAATAACAAAACTAGATTTTAAAACAAATAATAAATACAAATGAAAGTAATCTCTCTGAAATCTCAAACTAAGGCTTTGCCTGCGCTCTTCTATATTTAAAATTAGAGGCAACCACTGCATTTTTGTCACAATCCAAACAAAGATGCTGCATACATGCAGCATGAGCAGTTTTTCTTTCATTTAAATTAGACTTTATAATTTCAAATTTGTAGGAAAAACAGAATGCTCTGACTTTAGCGTTGTGAAATTATGCTACATATCTGAACGAAACAAAAACAGCAGATAGGCTGAATGAAAATGCAAAATTCACTCTCTGACAGCAGGTGGCGCTTATGGAACAGCAGCAATACAGCGTTTCCTGGGTTACCGCTGGGCCTATAAATATTACTTTAATATGCTTTATACAGAGGCAAAATGAAAATAATACCATCTAAACTATTCTGAAGACAGGCAGTTCTCCTCAGAGATCCATTCATATAAACCCCCACCCACAAATGTATCACGATTCATTTAACATCTCAACCGACTTGAATAGTCACATATTCTTATGAATTTTCAACTCGCACAGAGTGCATCGTTACATCCCTAACACTTATTATAGCTGACTCCCACTTATCTGAGTTTTCAGATTATTCCTACACCCTTGGGAATAAATGAACTATTTTGGCTATCCTAGGATAATATTATACACTAATATTGTTGTGAAAATTGTCATAAAATAGAAAATTAGCAGAAAGGATACAATGAACAAGTGGTCTTGCGATGTACAGGGACTCTGCGATGGTTTCCTGCAGACCCAGAGGTGTGGGGCTTGAGTGAAGCTCCCCTTCTCTATTCCTATTTTTTGTGTTTTTCCGAGGGAGACCCCAAAGACGAGACTGTAACGATGGTGCTACGGAAAAAAAAAAAGGACACAATATAACTTTCCATCGCAGAACTTTTTGATACACTGGGTTTGTATTGTCAAGTCTTACCGCTTCCCAGTGGTCTCACCACTCTTCCTGAACGCTGGCCCACAAAAGAAGTGTCCTCATCATCTTCTTCTGCATTGTTCTCTGTGAAGGGAGATCTTTGTATGAGCAGTGCACAGGAAAGCACTTTTCAACATAAAGAACGCACAGCACATTGACTGCAGGAACAGAAAGTTCCTTTTGAGTCTCCCGGTGTTACGCTCAATGGCACATCGCAGAAACTCCATGGGCTCTGGCTCAACTGAACTACACAATCACAGCTTATCTGCACAGGCCATATACTGTACTTATTGTCTCACACAGTGTTTATTTATTGTCATCAGTGAGAGTGTTTTTGTACTTATTGCTGTGCGTTAATTGTTGTTGTGACTTTGCTAAATGACCTGCATGGTGGTTTCCAGAGACACTTCAATTTGTTTCATTGCCTGTCATGCAGTGGAGAAAAAAAAGCAATAAATTAACTTTGACTTCTGAGTTTGAAACCTTTGTGTTAGTATAATTACATTTATGCATTTGGCAGACTATTCACAGAGACTTACATTGCATTGAAGGTATACATTTTATGCACTTGCGTTCTTTGGGAAACAAACCCATGACCTTGGCATTGCTAGTTTCCGAGTCTACTGTTTGAGCTACAGGAATATGCAGCAGCCAAGATCACTAAAGGTGATGTGTGATTTTATCAATAAAAAAAAAACTAGTTACAAATAATGAAGGCATGTTCTCCACACAGTTTTTCACCAAACAAATGCATGGATTAATTTTATTTAATAACTTAATGCACCATTTAGATGTATACAAATAAAAAATAGAAAAAACATTTCATATTTTATTTAAAATCCATTATAGACATGATCAAAGACTACTTAATTGCGGCTGATTTGTTGATTGTACCCCCAAAAACTGCTCTGTATTTTTGTATTCTTCATATATCCCATTCATTTCCTATGGCAATCATTTTTGACTGCAAAGATCACAAATATGATAATTTATACTTATATAATCATGTCCACAATTTTTTTTGTGTTCATATAGCAAGTCAGCAAGTTTTTTACCATTACGATTAAGTAAAACATTTCAAAAATTCAAAATGTAACATTTTTCGGTCTAAAATGAGCAGAACACTAGAGGGTTAAACTTTCAGAAAAGGCTTAGTTAAGTCAACATTCCATTGTTTGTTTTCTTGTTATTTTTGCAAACCTCTTTTCAAATATTAATACACTTGTGACACTTCTCTATGACATCTCACCTTGACTACAGAGCTGGGCATCCCTGTCCAGAGGAATTATAGGTGGTGACGTCTGGATGCCCGATTTGTACCAGAAAAGCAAGAGAGAACGCAGGATCGCTCTAAAAACACAAGAGAGAATGGAAAAATGGGAGGTCAGGATGTGTAAATGATGATAATGTTCTCCTGGTCAACTACCCTTTAAGTATACTCAGACAGGGTCCTTACTTGGCAATCTGAATAAGAACAATAACTAGCCAGCGTCCAGCTTCGCCCCACAGCTTGGCAGCCCCCATCTCAGTGAAAACCTCTACATACTCCAGTACAGACAACCAAGTTAACAGTCTCTGTTGAGAGAGAGTCTACACACACACACACACACACACACACACACACACACACACAAGCATAAGATCAGGTCAAAACACATTCAATTTGTTCAATGTCTGAAATGTTCAATATTTTTCTTAATGTTTAAATCAAAATGAAAGAGGTTAGCTGTATTGTAATATCAGTCTCGGAGTGAATTTCAGAAATTCATAACCTAATTTAATGATGCGGAGTTAAAAAGTAATAAAAACTTCACAAAATAAATATAGTAAATATTTGAACATATAAATATATATATATATATATAGGGGCGGATTAAGCATTTTTTTATCTCAACGGTATCGGCTCTCCTAAGCCCGATCCTTATATTGCGTCAGGTGTCATGCCGGTGTCGTGCAATAGGTGGCGGTATGGACCTTCAAGTGAGTTTGCCAACCACCATTAAAAGGAATAGAAGATTTCAAATGTGCTTGCGTGACATACGAGAACCGATGAAGTCTGTTCTAGCGCGTCACACACACTTTCCAGCTTCTGTGTTTAACGTATTTGATGCACATCAAAAGAATCACTCAAAAGTCATTTATTTACGGTTTACTTTTATCTGCCGTCAGACTATCCAAGACGTCGTTGTCATAAAGCATTATTGTGGATTGCGTCTTGCTTTGGACTTGACTGGCATTTTGACACCGTGAGCTTCATGCTTTCTAACCTTATCTCCACTTTTTCCCCCTTTAAGTTGCAATTATTCTGCTTATTGTACATATAAAATACAAGTTTATATCAGTAGTCCCATATTCATAATTGTGACCACACAGTCTGTATTTAATGTGTGCACCAAGCACTAGGAAAATACAAGTATCGGATTGGTATCGGCAGATACTCAATTTTCAATGACACAGATTGGATCAGGGGCACAAAAAACCTGATCGGGACATCCCTAATATAGACTGTGACTGGGCCGTTTATATGTCAATCAGATGGTCTATTTTGGTCTAAATGGCAGTTCTTGGCTAGAATAAGCTTCAATGAGGACTAGACTTTATGCCGTTTAGTCTGGCTGGAGACTAGTTGAACTATCACTCAATATAAAGTCAAACAGCCTCTGAGGAGGTCCATTAAGGACATGGCTCAAATGCCCAAAGCTGTAAATGCAAACTGTAAATTCTTCCTGTCACCATGGCTAAGCCATTTTGAAAGTAAAGATAAATTTGTCTCTCAAGCACAAACATAAATGGAAAAAACAATGAAGGAGCTTTGTAAACTCTGCTTGCTCCCAAAAATTGAGTGTGTTTGTTTGCAGGGGTCAGACGTATTTTTCACATACTGCCCATTTCAAAGCCTTTTTGAGCAATACCAGGCTGCCATCAGTGGGACAAAAAGGTGGATAACAACAAGTCTATTGCAGCAGAACAGTGACAGAGTTGGGACAAAATACATTTTTTTTGACAATGTGCAGTTGACGAAAGCAGCAGGCTGTGACTTTGAACACATTAAGCTTGCCACAACTTTGAATCTTCCCTCTTGAAGCAGAAACAGACCGTGCGGTTTCTATTGTTTCACAAATCAAAAACTCTCATTCATAGATAATTTTATGGTGGTTGCCATGCCAACTGCACATGCATCAGTCCTTATGCAAGTGTGATGATAAAGTAGGGAATAAAAAGAGAAAGAATGGGTAATTTCATGGAAAAATCAAAGTTTCCTGGATCTTTTAATAGATAAAAGAGCTTGGCATAGCATGAAAACAATGTAACTGTCAGAACTCAAAACTTGGTAGAACTGTCAGAACTCTCTAGTTTAAAGAGCATTTTAAAATTTGCTAAAAGGAAGTTTTCTGATGTCAAAGAGTGGATGAAGTTTACTTTTAACTAAGTCCCTGATCATTTTAATCTGACTAATTGTTTGCATGATGCAATAGTTGTATTGTTTTATTTTTTGTGAGTGAAGATAGTGCTTCCTAAAGGAACAAGAGCATAAAAATGCCAGTGAGGCAAAAAAGCATTTACTAATAGTATAAGATGATTTTTTTTATATAATTTATAATAGAACCCCTTTAAGGGACATGCACTACCATAGGCAATGTCCGAGAGAGATTCTTCCTCAAGATACCATCGTTCAGCAGCACTAGAAGGTTAGATGCGGAGTAGACTGCAAATCAAAGTGAGAAACACATAATTCACAGCAGAATTCATAAAGAGACATGCTCTTAGATCAACATTAATACAAAAGAAGATGATATAAAGCAGTGAATCCTACCCAACTCTGAGATTTCATGAGAGTCTGAGAAGCGACCTGTAATGAGAGAAGTCATAACTTTATATAATATCAAAATTATGAAAGCTTCAAAGTTCCTAGTTAGTTAGCGCAAGAGAGTAAAATTTCCCCCAAAACCTATGCATCTAGAGCAGGGGTGGCGAACTCCGGTCCTGGAGAGCCGCAGCCCTGCAGAGTTCAGCTCCAACCCTAATTAAAACTCACCTGCCTGTAGCTTTCTAGTAACCCTTCAGACCTTGATTAGCTTGTTCAGGTGTGTTTGATTAGGGTTGAAGCAAAACTCTCCAGGGCTGCGGCTCTCCAGAACCGACGTTCGCCACCCCTGATCTAGAGCTATAAACTAAAGGGTGGTTACTTTGAAGAGCTTAAATATAAAAAGATTTAAATAGATTTGCTTTTTTTAGTCAGCGCACTGAAAAAAAAAATATATATATATAAATAATAAATAAATAAAAAAGTGATAAATAAAAAAAAAAAAGTAGGGATGTAATGATTAACAGCGAGCCGGTTGAAAATCGATTCAAATGTGTGACGATTCAAATCGGTTGAGATGCTAAACAAATAGCGATTCATTTAGGGGCAGGGGTCTGTATAACGCATATTAAAGTTCATAAGTGCAGCGCTGCTTTGCTTACAGCAGAAACCAAGAAAACGCTTTAAGCGCCACCTGCAGGCAGAGAGTGCATCTGTGTTTCATTCAGCCCGTCTGCTGTTTCGGTTTCATGCAGATATTTTTATGTATAGTTTCACAAAACTGAAGTCAACCCATTTTGTTTTTGCTTCAAATTTCGAAATTATACAATTTAATTTAGATTGAAAACTGCTCATGTTGCATGTATGCAGCATCTTTGTTTGGGTCGAGATTAAAATGCAGTGGTTGCCTTAATTTGTCTTAAATCTAATTTTGTAAAAAAAAAAAAAAACAGAAAACGTGAATCGAATCGTGAGTTGAGTGAATCGTTACATCCCTAAAAAAAAAAGTATTCAATAAATACTTTTTTTAAAAAGTGCAGACCTTTCTGGCATTATTTTTTTTATTTTTTTGGGGGGCTATATGTGTATTGCTCTTGACACCTAATTAGCTGAAAGAGCTTGATTAGTGCAATGACCAGTGAGTGTAAAGTACTTCACTTTAAGTTATTTCGAAGTTTTGATGACTTTTTATCTAAAATGTGAACATAGTAGCTATAAAAATGAGTACGTGTGTCCAAACTAATAAAGAGCTCATTGCACAATAAACGGGCTGGCATGACAAGTCAAACAGTGACAGCCATGTGGCATGCTAAATCTACAACTACTGAAACATTAGATTGAAAACTGCTCATGTTGCATGTATGCAGCATCTTTGTTTGGATCGAGATTAAAATGCAGTGGTTGCCTTAATTTGTCTTAAATCTAATTTTGTAAAAAAAAAAAAAACAGAAAACGTGAATCGAATCGTGAGTTGAGTGAATCGTTACATCCCTAAAAAAAAAAGTATTCAATAAATACTTTTTTTAAAAAGTGCAGACCTTTCTGGCATTATTTTTTTTATTTTTTTGGGGGGCTATATGTGTATTGCTCTTGACACCTAATTAGCTGAAAGAGCTTGATTAGTGCAATGACCAGTGAGTGTAAAGTACTTCACTTTAAGTTATTTCGAAGTTTTGATGACTTTTTTTCTAAAATGTGAACATAGTAGCTATAAAAATGAGTACGTGTGTCCAAACTAATAAAGAGCTCATTGCACAATAAACGGGCTGGCATGACAAGTCAAACAGTGACAGCCATGTGGCATGCTAAATCTACAACTACTGAAACAACTTTTATAATGCCATGTTAATTAGATTAACGTTACATGAAATATTTGTACCTGTAGAAATGTATTTATGTAAACAGCAAAAATAATGCATGCAAAATCCACCTCCCGCATACATTTGATATTGATGTTGTTGGAAGAAAACAAGTAACCAGATACAAAAGATAACACCATAATACAGAAATTTGCATACTGAATAAACATACATCTAGCTTTACTCTTACACGACACTGTTGTATAAGACGTGAGCGATTATGTTTACTTTCACTTTGACGCGGAGTCTCTCACCTGCAATCAGGTAGCTCAGCGCGCGAACTGCGCTCTCCACATGAGACGCGGCTGCCGGGTTCGACCTCACATACTCCTGATAACGCTCATAAATACGACTTAATTTATCCATGTAGAGCACCGACATCACAGCCAAATCAATAAATTCCCAATCACACACAACGCATCGCAGGAAAAACACACACGGAGAACGACACTTCCGCGTACGCAAGCGTCTTCCTCCGACGCCACTTCCTGTACGGCGAGCGCGCGCGACATTTAAAGTCGCAGTACCCTGCTTAAATTCCATTTTTGTTTGCGTTTGTAATACATCCAAACAAAGCATTTTATTGAAGATGAACAGAAGTTAGTGTGCTTAAGTATGTCTGTATACCCGGAGAACGGTGTCTGTTGGCATTCTCAATAGCAGATAGTCAGATGGCAGGAACACTCCAAAATATGTGATTTTAAATCAA